AAAAATAAAAATACATTTAAAAATCTTTAAAACATTCATATAGTTTTGTGTATTTTTTAAATTAATTTATTTTTTTTTGTCCTGAATTTTTGTGCTTTTTTTTTTTTCATTTTTCAGATTGTCTGGTACTTTCTTTTCTAAAGGAACAACTTTTGAATATTTATTAATTAGTGTACTATTTCTCTGTTTTTTAAATTGTCAAATTGTTTTGGTTGTTTGAAGTTTTTTCTGCTTTACCTTATAATGCTCCTGTTAAACTTTGTTGAGTGCTTAAATTGTTAATTCTTTAAATCTTTTTTTTGAGAAATGAAATAAAAATGGCTCTGAACATCGATTTAGTTGAACCACAGGGTATATATTTAATATTTATATGTGTTCACTACTTGTAGTTGAAAATTCAAAATACTGAGAAGTCTGAAACTTTTGGAGTGCCACCATGATCCTACAAGTGAGCAATTTTACTGGGTTGGGGTTTCTACTTGTGAGTGCGGGGGCTGGAGTTGGGGCTGTGTTCTGGACTGGACAAGGCTGCAGTCTCCCTTGCCACAAGTGTGGACCTGGATCAAATGCACCAGGCCAGGCTAGACTTCAGCACTATCTGGTGCTCTGGAGAACCAGGGTAGGTGTAAGATGGATTAGGCTGGGTTTCTACCCCTACTGAGTCATGTATGAGCCGTGTCTGGGTATGGATGAGCCTTGACTGGGCTGAAACATCCTACAGTAAGAATTGGAATTGGTTGAAGGCCAGTCAGGAAAGGCCACTGTTACTGCCAGGACAGGAGGTGGACTATGTAAGGCTGGCACATGAACCCACTGGTATGTGCAAGATCTGGCAATGGGAGAGATTCTGATGGAGAAGCCTGGGCAACTCCTGTTGGCAGGACACAGTCCCAGCAGGTGAGTACAAGAACCATGACAGGGAGCAGCTCAGACCAGGCCAGAGAAAGATACCCACCAGCATATATTTGGCATTGGTCGGGGCAGACCAGGCTGAACCAGTTCACATCACCCCACTGGCAAATTTGAGCACCAGAACAGAGTGTGGGTCAGTCCAGGTATAGTCGCAACACATACTAGTGCACATTATGGCTGGCATTGGATGCCTGCTGGGCTGGGCTAGGCCTGGGCTAGGCTGTAACCTTCACCACCGTCAGCTGGAATTGGGGTGGGCTGGGCCTGGTCAGGCTACAACACCCACCTTGGCAAATGCCAAGGTGAGGTGAGCCATATTAGACTTGGCTGCAGTGACCAATCAGTATACGTGAGAACCAGGAAGGGAGGGGGCAAAGCCAGCAGGGGGAATGGGGAAGGCTCCCCTATTGGACAGCCACTTCTACTGGAGAGTGTGAGCTGAGATGGGGCAGACCAGACCAGGTAGGGCTGCAACTCCTGTGGGCCTCATGTGGACTAGATCAGGGAAAAGCTAGGCTGGGCTGACTGTTCCTATTGGTGCAAACATAAATCAGAATGGGTGAGGTTTATTATATTCTATTGGCTCTTACCTTTGCTATAATGGAAGATTTTCTGAAGCAATTTTATAATTTATGAAAATGTTAAGATATAAAGAATTGTGTAGTATAGTTAACATTAGAAACAATAATAAACCTAAGCATTTTTTTAAAGAATAGCATCTGTTGAAGTATCGTTTTTTTGTTTAATGACCTGGTACTTTTATCCCTGAAGCTATTCATTCTAGAAATCATTGGCCCTCACCTGTGAGTTGAATTATTGGAGTAGCCTGTTACGAGTGTACGACACTTCCCCCCACCCCCCCGCAAGATGTTGAGATGTACCATCCAGATTCCACTTTAAAAGAAGACCTCCTACTGTGTAGCTGTGAACAACATAGACTCCAGGTGGCTCCTTTTGCCCATCTTTAGGATCTGCCTCAACTGTAGAGAGAAGCCATTCCCCTTGACCCCTCACCCCTCCCGAGCCACTTCCTCCCTGGGACAGCATACATTTACACGTTGAGCAAGCAGAGGTATTCCATCCCATCACAGACCACTCTGATGGTCAGTACTTGCTTTTGTGCTTCTGTATGGTTGGCTGGAATTCTTTTGGTCCTGTATTATAGTTTAAATTCTCCCCAAACTGCTTTCTCTGCCTTCTATTCATGGGTGTTGATCGCTCATAAATATTTTATTCCTCCAATAATACATCACTTCTGCTTCAGAGAAACTAACCTGGTGGTAGCTCCTGAATACATGGAACTAGTTACTACAAGGAAATGCATATCAAACAATAAATTAAAAGTATGATCAAAGTTAGGCAGAGGCACAGATTGTCATGAGACTTTTGTAATCAAGCTTGGTGGATCATGTTTCGAGAGGGTAGCCTTTAGAAGTCAGAGCCATGGGTCTTTCCAAACCCATTTCCTTACTTGTATTATGTGAATGATACAATATCTTATTCCTGAGGAGACTAGCCAAGAGTTGCTAATGCAGTGAAGAAAGAATTCCCAGCAATGTGAGAGTCCAGTTCAGAAACATTTCTGAAGTCTGTTTATATCAGTTTGTTTATTCATGCATCTAAGCTTTGATTAAAGGATGGAGTAGAGGTCTACTTCTCCATGGAGGATTCGTAAAATAAAGTACATGTATATGTTTGTGTACATATATGTGTGAACATTACCAAACACATAACCTATTGTACAAAAATTGTTAAGATTCTTGTGTTTATAGGGCCTGGGGCAGCTGGCTTATGGGGGCCTGTGGGTGTGGGCTTGTAGGGCCAAGGGGAATAGCACCGGCAGGGCTGTGTGTGTGGGGACGTGGGGTTTGTGTCCAGGCAGGCAAAGCAAGCTCAGGAGAGCCCCGCTGCTTGGTCCCATGTGGGGTGCGGACAGGGGAGGGCAGAGCCCCAGGTTAACATGCTGATCTGTTGTGCTGGTGGGCCAGACCTGGGGAACCTTGAATGGGTCTGGCTCTTGAGTCTGTGGAGGGGTAATGTCCCTAGCCAGTACGTGTGCCAGGAGCTTGGGACACTTTGGGTGGGCGGAGCTCCAGACAAACACCACCAGCTGGGCTTAGGAAGGCTGTGCTGGAGAAGCCATGCACTCATGGGTGCAGGGACTGTGGGTTGATTAGGAAAAGGGACAGGGGAATATGTGGGAGGTGGGACTGCTGAGGGATTTTGTTGCAAGTGAGGAATGACTTCTGAGGGACTCCCAATGACAAGGCTACTGTACTTGCAGGTAAGCCAGGGACTGACACCAGGCCAGGCCATTTGGAGGGGAGAGACTGAAGGACCTCTGGGTCAGACTGATGCGTAATCCCACATGGGAGACCTGAGTTGGGCTAGTTATCATGGAAAACTGCTGACTACCACATGTTGGCCCACAGAAAATTTAGGGCTGGGACCCTGCCTGGCAGGGCTAGGTCACAGTATGTGGCAGTGTTAGAATAGGGAACAGGTAATGTTAGGCTAGGCCATGGCTCTAAACAGCATGTGAGAGAACCAGGTCCAGGGGCAGATTCTGTGGGGGATATGTGGGTTTACCCTTGTGGAACTGCAATTTCTACTTGTTAGTTGTTAGGCACAATTAAGTTCTTATGTGCGGCCAATTTCCCACAGCCAAGTTTTCTTTTCACGGGAAGTTTAGCACAAGCCAAATGCCTGACACAGCGAGGTACTCAAGAGGTCCTTTTTTCCAATAGGGTAAGAATGGGAGCTGGTGTGGAGGGGAAGAGAACAAAGGGAAACGTCTCCTGCCTTGGTGGCAGGATGGAGGCTGACAGAACAGGGGAAGGGGCAAGATAGAGAAGGACTGGGGAGAACCAGGTGAGCCTGAGAAGTGTGGGGGGTGTGGAGAATTGGTTGAGAGGGGTTGCAGGCTGACCCCAAGGGATTGGTGACTGAATTGTCACTGGTGATTGCAACAGGTGATTGGTAAGTAGACGGGGATTAAGGGAGATGCCAGGAGAGATTAGGGGTGGGGTTCTCAGGTAAAATGCCATGAGGTTGCATCTCATTGGTGGACAACTGGAATGACATGAATTTTACGAGCTGTGGGAAAGGGGAAGCAGACACAAAATGGCTGAGGCCTTCACGGCTGATGTTTGAGTGACTCCTCACACTGCTGGTTAGTGTAAGAGTTGGGGATAGTAATGGGCTGAGCTAGGCATGGAACCCCTGACACTCATGAGTACGGGGCTTGGGAACAGGCTGGGCAGATTAAGGCTGCAGTATCTGCAGCTGCACCCAAGAATAACGTGTGGGGCTGTCTGGGCTGCAACATCTATCAGCTCATACAAAGACCAGGACGGAGAGGGCGAACTATGGTGGGTATGATATCTGCTGGCACATGTGAAATCAGGTCAGTGGAACTCCTCTCTCAGGATGTGATTCCTGCAGGTGAGCACAAGAACCAAAGCAAGGAGCAGACCAGACCAGGCCATGCCAGGTTGTGGTACCTGCCAGCATATGTGTGGGTCAGGTCTGGGGGTGAGTGGGCCAGCCTGGGCCAGTTCATAGTACTTACTGGCTTATCTGAGAACCAGGATGGGGTGCAGGACTGGCTGGGTTGGGCCACAACACCAGCCAGTTCATGTTTCTGAGCTATTGAACTATTGAAACCACTTGAGCAGAACCCTTAGAGCATACTCCACATAAGGGACCCTGGTATGACCCATCCCTGGGTACTGAGGCCGTTGGTAGGCTGGGTATGGCTTCTCCCCTTCTCTTCCTTCCCCCATATACAGAAAGAAGAAAGAAGAAAATTTGGAACCAATGGTCTCACCCACCTTGTCCTAATCCTTGACCCGCCCCACCCTAATCAACTATGTATACATCATAAATTTTTTTTAAAGTTAACAAAATAGTTAACATTGAGCATTTTCTATAAATAATACAGGACTGTGATAATTTAATGTGTTCTATCTCAGTATGATATGAAGAAAATATAACCCATTTGCAGAATTTAAAATTTTTTGCCATCTTAAAATAATTGTAATGTTGAAAACACTTGACAAAGTTCTTTCTTTTTTTCCCTTCTACAGTAAGAAAAGTGGGAAGCCACCATTACAGAATCATGAGGTAAAATTTTATATCATCTGATTTTTGGGCTTTCATGTATTTATAATGGTATACTTTCAAAAAAGGATAAAAATCACAGAATTTTAGATTTTAATGGAAACTTTAAAATCTCTCTCTAATCCCCTGTATAGTGCAGGAACACTTTTCAAAACAGGAGTCATGAGAGCTGTCTGCTAGCATGTACTTGAATCTTTTCATTCCATGGATTACTGTTCTGTCAGCATTCATAATGTATGTGGGTTCTTGAAAGTCATAGAAAGGCTTGTTAGGAAGATAACTATTGATGGGGGTCAAAACTTATTACACTGAAATAAACTTTTAATCCAGTTTTCTCATGAACGTTTTAAAGCACTGTCATATTAGCCGCCGGCTGTGACGAGATTAATCTTGCCTAGCTCGTCAGCGGTTGATCTTATCATGTTTTGTGGCAAGTTGCAACAGATCTACTCTGTCTTTTGTAATAGACTCTCATAATATTTGAAGATAATTTAATGTTCTTTGTGTATTTCCTTATACTAAATAGCCTTCCTTTCTTCAGATGTTTCTCATATGACATAGTTTCTGATCCTTTTCCTATTTTGTATATATTCCGCACTAGTTTTGTTGTGTAAGGAAGAGAGCAGGTGTGTCCAGATGTGATCTAACATGGAATACATCAATACTCCTATATTCCTTGATATGAATGCCACTTTGCTACTTATTTAGCTGTATCATATGCATTAAGTGATGTTAATGGTAAAGTATGATTTTAAAGTGCCTTTCTGATGAACAGCTTCACTGAAAGATCCCCTACATTTTGTATTCTGCAATTGATTTTGCTTTTTGTCAAATAATAGCTTTATTGGGGCAAGTGTTTGGAACAGTGGTTAAGGTGCCACATAAGGTGCCTGGAACTATACTGGGTTCAGATTCTTGCTCTTTGTCAAAATTTACCTTTTTGCTGATCTGAATCCTGGGAAACATCGAGTGATGGCTTAAGTACTTGGGTCCCTGCCACCCATGTGGGAGACAAGAATTGAGCTTCTGGCTCTTGGCTTCAATCTAGTTTTGTAAGTGTTTGTGGGGTAGTGAGCCAATGGATGGAAAAAATCTGTGTGTTCTGAATAAAGAGAGAAAAAATTTTAAAAGGATTAAATGGTATTACAAAAATATATTTACACCTTTATTGAAGTATAATTTATAATTCTTATACTGTATAATTCATCCACGTAAGTGTATTAATAGTTATTAGGATAGTCACATAGTTATGTTGCTTTCACCATTGTTTAATTTTAACAAATTTCATCATGTCCCCCACAAATCCTATAGCCATTAGCAATTACTTAATACTCTTTAATTTGGCTTCTCTTTTTTCTTCAATGTTATGAAATTATCTTGTGGCCTCCCTTAATCTGTGGATTTTTGTCTGTTTGTTTTGGTTATGGTTTATACCTCTGTGACCATATTCAACTGTAGTGAAATCTGGTTCTTATTTCTCCATTATGGCCACAATAATTTTATTTATTTTTTTTTTTTAAGATTTATTTTATTTTTATTGGAAAGGCGGATATACAGAGAGGAGAGACAGAGAGGAAGATCTTCTGTCCGATGATTCACTCCCCAAGTGAGTGCAACGGCCGATGCTATGCCAGTTCGAAGCCAGGAGCCTCTTCCGGGTCTCCCACGCGGGTGCAGGGTCCCAAAGCTTTGGGCTGTCCTCGACTGCTTTCCCGGGCCACAGGCAGGGAGCTGGAAGGGAAGTGGGGCTGCCGGGATTAGAACCGGCGCCCATATGGGATCCCGGGCGTGCAAGGCGAGGACCTTAACCACTGTGCCATCGTGCTGGGCCTCACAATAATTTTATTAAACACTTTGAAAATCCTTGATTTATTTACTTACTTTCTAAATCTTCCAACAAGAGGAAATGACGGCCTCTCCTGTTTGTGTGACACTGCTCTTGCCTCTGGGTGCAGGCAATTACAACAGTAAGTCCTAACCCTCCTGGAGCAGACGTATATGAAAACACTAGTATATGAAAACTAGCATATACTAGTATATAATATACTAGTATAATATTTCCAGAAAGCAGCAGCTCAGGATAGCTTAGAGCAGTTTATTTAGTGAACTCAGATTGTCTTCTGTTGATTAGTGCCTGGGTCTTCTAAATCCCTCTGCACTAGTGTTTCTTCTATGAATATGCTAGAGATTGACATCAAAATTGTTCTTGAATTCCTATCCCCCCTTTTTTTTTTTGTCAGCCCTTAAAAATGGGATGTGAGGTATGTATGTCCAGTTAGCTGGCTTATCTCCAGCTCTGTGATCTGTCATGCCTAACTCACATCTGAGTAACCATACCTTTGCTTCTTTTGGGTCAACTGAGTATCGACATACCTGCAAATTCTAGGATAGCCAAATTCATTTTATTCATTTTTTATTCCTATTTATTTTTTGTACAATTTTTAGAATAGACTTATTTGCAAGCCATATAGTATTAAAGAGATACTTTTAAAAAAAGATTTATTTATTTTTATTGCAAAGTCAGATATTTATAGAGAGAGGAGAAGGAGAGACAGAAGGAGGATCCACTCCCCAAGTGACCACAAAGGCCGGAGCTGAGCCGATCCAAAATCAGGAGCCCGGAGCTAGCCTGGGTCTCCCATGTGGATGCAGGGTCCCAAGGCTTTGAGCCGCCCTCCACTGCCCTCCCATGCTACAAGCTGGTTACTGGATGGGAAATGGGGCTGCTGGGATTAGAACTGGTGTCCACATGGGATCCTGGTGTGTTCAAGGCAAGGACGTTAGCTGCTAGGCCACCGTGCCGGGCCCAAGGGGATAAAATTAGGTTAAGATAAATGATTGGCAATAAAAAGAATGTATTAGCATTCTTGATTGGCAATAAAAAGAATCCCAGGGCCAGGTACCACACAAACCAGGAATTTTCTTTGTTTATGGAGAAACATCTTTGAGATAAACTTTTAAAAGGTGCTTTCCCCACCATTGATATGGGTGTTTTTTTCCCCACTTTTCCTCCTGCCACTATGGCAGGGGGTAAGGGTCCTTTCTATCTCGTAGCCTCCTCCCATCATTAGGATGGGAGCCTCCTTTTACAGCTTTTCTAATAAATCTTGCTTTAAAACTAAAAAAAAAAAAGTATTATTACACGGATTGCATTTGTAAAATTTACAGTAAGTATATACACAGAATACGTGCAAGCATATACTAAAATAAAATCTGATAGATTGAGTATAAAATTATTAACGATTAATATCTGAGATGTAGGTGTAGGTTTCTTGTTTCTGTTATCAAAATTTAAAGATTTTTTTACAGTAAATATGTTACTTTTTGGGCCAAACAATTAAAAAGTAACTTATTGAATTTTTAAATATAATCATTCTGAATAATTACCTTCTAGTTGACCACAGGCTGTAGATGTGATCCTGATCCCATAAGCTTATAATGGAGCTAAGACATTCCCATTGCCTGACAGTACCACCTTTATGTTTTGTAACACATTACTCACATGTTTGTGCTGATGCTGCCTGTTGTATAAAAGTACAACATGGGAAATTAAGTACAGTGGAACAGCTGAGACTTCAACCACTGCCCACAGGCATGCTAGTATCACAGGGTTTATCCACTGTGCCACTTTAATGGCCCTACATTTCCTTGTATTTGAACGGTAGACCGAATGAGAGAAACATATTTGATCTTCTGGTTTGTTCCCCAGATTCCTCTAACCACCAGAGTTGGACCAGGCCAAAGTCTGGAGACTTTGTGTCACCTTAATGTCCACAGAAGCCTTTCTGATCTTCTTGTCTTTTTCCTCAGGCTCCTGGCTGGTCTCTGTAGTAGTTCATGTATTGGTTTAAAATTATTGCCTGTGTTTCTCCTGCTGAATGCAGACTTTATATAAAGGAGCTCAGTGAACTGGAAATCGGGTACTGAAAATGTTAAGGTGAAGTGATCAGTCTAGGAATGCAAAAGTTTCCTGTAGTTGATACCTGGGAAAACTTGTTCAGGATCTTTCTTTTGAAAGTGCTTTGTTAATCAGGAAGTGGATAATAAATGATGGAAAGGCACTTGACTGTTTCTCAACTGCCTTTGTGTCCTCTCCTATTGCTGTCCACGTTCCCATCGATGGCCCAAGTTGGTATTTTCTTGTCCTCCTGTGAGTGGGCTTTGCCCTTGCTGTTCCCCAGCCACTGTCTCTGCTCACAGTCGTCTCCTGTACATTCATATGGCTCCAGTTTTCAGATGGCATCTTATTTTTCAAAAGCATGTTTGAATAAGAGAAATACATGCAGTATATTGATTGAATTGCAACACAATTTGTTGTTTTTATTTATCTGTTATAGCGCCCTTAAAAGTAACTTTTTCCTATTTTTTTTTTTTTTTTTTTTACTTTAGAAAGAAGGAAGAAAAGAGCGAGCTGTTGTGGACAGGGTGTTTTTATCAAGGCTCTCACGGATTCTGAAAATTATGGTTCCTAGAACATTTTGCAAAGAGGTATGTCTCATGATTATAATATTAACTTTCAACTTTCGAGGTTCTTGAGATCAGAAAAGCAAAAAGAATTTTGGTTATACTCTCAGTCAAGTGGCTCCTACATGGGTAAAGATAACTCCCAAATTTTTGTCTTCAAATCACCATGTGTTGTACAAATACCCTTGTTCGGTGCCGGTTTTTATTTTATTCTGCAGTATGTGAAATACTAAATGACTGCTGGGCAGCTATGCTAAATGACCAAATACTGTTAGTAACTTCTGAGTTTAAGAAGGTAAAGTTTTTCATTATATTTGTATGTTTAAGAAGTCACATTGATAAGGGATATATTAAAACTTGCTTCTTCACATTTGATCAGGTAGGTTTTTAAGTTATTCAAAGTGATCCCTGAAATTAAGAACTTTTGGAAAGTGAGCTAGTTTTAAAATAGCTACTGTTCTTTCCTTTGCTCTGTTTTCAAGATTGTTATGACTTGACAAAGATTTTTAATGCTTATTAGAACAATGATGTGTTCTTTTGTAGTCACTTCAACATTCTCTTTTATATTGCCAGAGTTTTTTTTTTGGTTTTGACTCCTCCTCCCCTTGCCTCTCCTTTTTGTCTCTTCAGATCTGGTCATTTTTATTTTTTTCCTAACTGGATATTATATAGTTAGTCTTACTTCCAAGCTCTGCTTTTGGTCTTTAAACCTAAAACCTGATGGTAGCAAGAAAAGGATAAGATGCACAGCTGCAGGCGGTTCCTGAGAGAACATCCTTTCCTCTGTCACGCCAGACTTGCTCTGCTTATTGTCACTCAAAATCCTATCCTGTTGACTGTGTGTTAGAGAAACTCTAAAAAAAATAATAAAACAACATTTTTTTTTTCTAACTAGATGGACGTAATGCATGCTCCTCGAAGTGGAGTTTAAAATGCAGATAGATATTTTTCTGTTCTTAGGGCCTATTGATCTCTTACTCATTTTGGAGTGTGCTCTTGTTTGTGAGCATGTGTTTTGATCAAAATGGGATCACTCTGACACTTGAAATCTATTCCCTTTCATGTCTTAAATACTCTTCCCCAGTATCCTAATTTCAATAGATTTAGTTTCTGCTTTTCCATTCCTGTTGTTTTCACTGTATCTTAGCTGGATAATTGTGATCTCCAATCTTTTTGCTTTCTATTTGCTAATTCTCTAAACTAATTAAAAGTAGTTGGCATCTTCTTGTAGGGTGAGACACAAACTGACTTTGCTCTTTTTTTTTCTAGTACTGTTTGTTTAGTAGATTGTTTACTGTTTTGTCATTGAAGTTTATGCTATCACATACAGTATTGTGTCTGAAAACTTGTCCCTTTTCCCAACAAAAACCGGTATGTTGAAAAACAGTGGAACGATTCTTATCTTCCTTGTGAAGGTTCCTTGAGACTCTTCAGGCATAATTATTGTCTTTTTAATTTCTAAAATCTCTCTTTGAAGAAACCTGGTTGAAAATACAAACTTCTCTGGAAAGATACAGTTATGATCCAATCACTTAGAACTTAATTTTGATATTAAAGTTATAGAAATTCACTGTGAGTGAAGTGAATGTGAAACATTGACTAGTTCCCTGGGAATTTAGTTCAAGGAGCAATTTAGTCATAGAAGCAATAGAAAACAGGAGGGGTAGACTGAGTAACTAAATGGTATGGGAAATAGAGAAATGAAAATAAAATCTAAGCTAATATGGAACTTTGTACGTATCATAAGCTGAAGGACTGCCTGAATCTTTACAGTACTTGAGTTGCTGATGCATGTAAGGCATTTTAGAACTGTCAACATGGAAAGTTTGTTAGATTTTGCTGAAGTGGGACAAATAAAGTTGGTACTTGTTTAAGTGGAAAATTAAGCCAAAAGTATAAAAATAATGAACAATAAAGTTTCTGTGTCTAATATTATCTTTTATAATGCAGTGATTTATTTAGGATTGTGACAGTATCTGAATTAAAAGTTGGCATTGCTAGATAGCATATATTGGAGTGAACTTTTTTCTATTGCCAGCTGAATACCTAACCCCAGGGTGGTGGAGTTAGGCAAGAAGGCAAGCCTTGGGCTGAGGGACAGGTGTGACTGCTCAGCTGCCTAGGCTCTTTGACATTGTCTTAGGCCTTTTCATTTAGGGCCCCTTCTGTCTTTCACTTGAAGAATTATATTTCTAGTAGTTTCACTTTTTTTTTTTAAGATTCATTTATTTTTATTGAAAAGGCAAATATACAGAGGAGGAGAAACAGAGATCTGTCTGCTGATTTGCTCCCCAAGTGGCCACAACGGCCAGAGCTGAGCTGATCTGAAGCCAGGAACCCAGAGCCTCCTTTGGGTCTCCCTCACAGTTGCAGGGTCCCAAGGCATTGGATTGTCCTCTACTGCTTTCCCAGGCCACTGGGGCTGCCGGGACACGAACTGCGCCCATATAGGATTCCAGCGCATGCAAGGAGTGGACTTTAGCCACTAGACTACCAGGCCAGGCCCAGTTTTTCTATTTCTTTTTCTTTTAAATGGTGTAAGAAATAGATGCTGTTACCTTTCATTCAGTAACTTTGAAACTGCCTGTATTAGCCAGTAAATGTTCCCCCTCACCCAGGCTTTAGTTTCTGTGTTACTGTCATTCTTCCTGTTCATGTTTAAGGTTGTCTTAGAGTGTGTGTGTTTGTCTTGGAAGGAGAAAGGACGCAGCAGGTTTTGCAAATACTCAGGTACCTGATTTGATCACCCCACATTTCTGCTGTCCCTTTCATAGTTCATTTTGCACAGTAGTGTTTCAGTAACACTCTGTAGACATCACTTCAACTATTTTGCTCTTCCTAGAAGGTTGAAATAAGTTTATATTGTCTAAGCTCTGCTGGATATTCAGCCCTGTAATATTGAGGATTTTAAAGCATTTTTCCCCTCCAAGTCCTTCACTGTTTTTGTTTATGAGTAATCTTTTTATTTGATTTATGAAATATTTCTAATGCCATAGCCATATTTTATTCTGAACCTCATTTTTCATATAAAGTTAAACAAATGTGTTTACCTAAGTTTGTCTATTTCCTTTTAAAGTGAGTGAATCTTGTTTTGGTAACCAAACTGAACATCAAAACACTCTTTAAGACTCTTCTAATGAATTACCCAGATTTATTCTACCTATGTAAAACTGTAATCTTCAGTGGGTAAATACTTGCTGTTGTTTTTCTTTGCTTGTGTTACACGTTAATGCACCATGGTTGAGGTGATCAGAGTTGTTCTCCTTGCTTCTGCTGTTGACTAGTAGTGAGGGGGGAGTCTTGTGACTTCCTAGGCCTCACATTCTGGACAACAAAGATTAAATGATATGTAAGGCCTTTTCCATTTATATTATGGTTTAAAGCTCCATTATAACTATATTTAAATGTTATCTGTGAGTAGAATGTGAACAAATGGCATTAAAGCTAGAGTAAAATTCTAAATTTGGAAATAAAAAATGTTTGCTCAGTTAGTGTGCCTTTTAATTTTCTAAAGTGCATTTATTTACCTGGTTTATTTTAGACAGGTTATTTGATACTTATTGCTGTTATGCTGGTGTCTCGAACCTATTGTGATGTTTGGATGATTCAAAATGGGACACTGATCGAAAGGTAATTGTCTGTTCACGTATGTTTGCAATACTGATTTGTCTCATTTAAGCACTATCTTTGTAAGCAAGAAACAGTTTGCAAATTAGGTAAAAGTATTTAATTCAAGTCATGCGCTTGTTCATTTGCTTTCTGTGTGCCAGATACGGTGTGATAGAGGTCATAGCATCATGTATCAGTGAAGTGGGGAATCTGCTATACCGAGCCTTGCTGAGCTAACAGCTTGTAGACTGGGAGAGACCAGTAAAGCAGAAAATCTAACTGTAATTCTATAATTGGGGTTTTAAAACTACCAAGTTGGATATATAAAATTAATGAGATAATTTTGTGGAAAAAACACCCAAAGTATTTCAGGGAGTCACCTTGAGCATACTTATTACAAAGAGAGATAATTCTTAGACATTTGCTTTTGGTTTGTATTTTCTGTATTTAAACATTGTTTTTCTGCATATTATATTATTAGTCACTATGATGATTAATTCAGAATAAATTGCTTTGAATTAAAAATTTTTGAAAATGTGTATTGGGATATCTTTGGTTATTATAACTATTTACCATTTATCTAGTAATAAAGAATTTATTCTTCATGATGCCAATTTAAATATCAGTGTAAGCAATTTTTCCTATAATGAAATGTTTTTTGATATGTAGTATTTTGTCAGAAAACTTTAAAATACTGAGTCTAAGATAATTTTTGAGTGACAGTACTTGAAAGTTTTATATGCCGCTAAATTTTGAAATAGAGGTTTTTTTTCTCTTAGATCCTTGATTTGCTTCTAAGAGAATTTATAGGAAGAGGAAGAATGGTTTATGCCCAAATTTCCAGACTCATTTCTCTAGTAGAATAAAGAAGTTTATCTGTATAGCATTAAAAAGTTATACACCTAATGTTGAATATGGGTGAATTTTATAGGCTGTTAGACTCAGCGCGTCTTCCTGAATCCTGTGATAGCCTCATGGTTTTATTTGACATATAGTATTATCAGAACACAACTTAAAAAGTAATACATGAATATAGCTTATTGTCAAACAGTCCTCCTACAAATTATAAAACATCACTGCTTCCACTCACACTGTCATTACGTGGAGTCAGTTGGTGTCTGTGGTCTCTGTTTCCTCATGTATGTTTGCATTTCAGGGTAACCCACTGGTTTTACTGTGTCCCGATGTCTTCAGTGTTAGTGTGTGCGCATTTCTTGCTTTGGGTGGGGAGAATCGGCTCTTTTACCCTCACACCATGCTCCTAAATTTATATTTTTGTTAACTATGAATTTTTGTCCATGATTTTGGCTATCATTTTCAGCTGAGCTGTGTGGCTTACTTTTAGGTAGCTCCTTTTTTTAATAAAGCTTTTTGTTCTTCCTGGCATTAGTTACAGATTTTTGGTAATGTGCTGTAATTCAGCTCAAGTTTTTGAGAGTACTGTACATCTTTCTAATGTTGTGATGTGGTCAGACTTGCCAGGTGATCTGTCTTTCTCAGCAATTTCACCTTCATTCCCTTGTATCTTGTAGTTTCCCATATTTCTGCTCTAATCAGGGCCTACTGGATAACAGATTTCAAGTGTTTTGTCATTAATTGAGGAATTTGTTTCATCTTTTCTCGAATTTTCTGAATCTTTTTTTCCCTCTTTCATATTTTACTTACTCATGTTTGCAAATGCAGTCTTTTTCTGAAAAGATGCTAGAGAAATTTCTGACATCTTATAGACATAAAATGTCTTATTCTGCTCTCACATTTGGTTGATAATTTAGCAGTGTTTATGCATTTCTGGTTAGAAGACTCTCTTCCTCACAGTTTTGAAGGTATCACTGTAGTGTTTGTGCTCCCAGCCATGGTTGCAGATGTTTGAGATCACTGGGAAAGTTTTAGGACCTGGATCCGCTCCTGCAGATTCAACTTGAATTCCAAACTTTCATTCCATTTTTCTTATTTTTTTTTTGTTTGTTTGTCTGTGATGTATAAGTGGTGTATGAAAGTTTCAGTGCACATTCTAATGTAATTTTTTTTCTCATTTTAATCTTAGTAAATGCAACTTTTTAAAAAAAATTATTTTATTTTATTGGAAAGGCAGATTTACAGATGAGTACAGAATGAATACAGAGGAATCAGAGGGAAAGATCTCCGTCTGATGGTTCTCTTCCTAGATAGCCACAAATGCTAGAGCTGAGCCTGGAAATGCTAGAGCTGAACCTGTCTGAAGCCAGAAGCTTCTTATTGTTGTCCTACGCGGGTGCAGGGTCCTAAGGCTTTGGGCCATCCTTGACTGCTTTCCCAGGCCACAAGCCGGGAGCTGGATGTGAAGTGGCATATGGGATCCCGGCGCATTCAAGGCGAGGACTTTAGCCACTAGGCCATGCTGCCTGGCCCCAAGGCTGTTGGTTCTTAAAAGAACAATTGTTTTTGTTCTTTCTGCATTGTTTGTTTTCTTCATGATCCTTTTTTTTTTTTTTAAATTTTTAATGATTATGATGTGTGTTGTTTGTGTAGACTGTATTCAAGCAATCTGTGACTCTCAGATGTTAGTGCATGTTTAAAAATGAAGGTCTTAAAAATGGAGAGCAAGATTTGAGGACTTGCTGCTTATATAGTTTCCACTGAAGGACATCTGTCAGGGGAGTTGGGCCTTGTGAGTATTTGTTCCTACTGGGGAACATCAGCACAGCTCAAGAAGTTAAACGTGGAATATTTGTTCATTCGTGGTAGTCCATTGGCTTAGTAGGGACAGTTTTTATTGCCAAGTTCTGTTTTGTTTTTTTAAAGATTTATTTATTTTTATTGCGAAGTCACATTTGCAGAGAGGAGAGACAGACAGATCTGCTGATTCACTCCCCAAGTGGCTGCAACAGCTGGAGCTCAGCCAGTCTGAAATTAGGAGGCAGAGCTTCTCTGCATCTCGCGTGGGTCCCAAGGCCTTGAGCTACCCTTGACTGCTTTTCCAAGCCACAAGCAGGGAGCTGCATGGGAAGTAGAGCAGCCAGGACATGAAGTGGCGCCCATGTGGGATCCTAGCACGTGCAAGGCGAAGATTTAGCTTATCATGCTGGACCCCGCCAAGTTCTGTTTTTATGAATAGCGTGCACAAGTAAATTCAGTCTTTTTTATACAGACACATTTATACCCTTTTACATTACTATAAAATCATATCTTTTTTTTTGTTAACTATTTATGGCTTTAAATATTGCATCGATAAAATATAGATTCCTCTACTACAGTATTGCTAAGTGTTTTGATATGTTTACCATAATTATATTATTAGATTTTGTCATCTGTTAATCACATTACATATAAACTGTATAGTTACAGTTTAGAAGAGAAAATTGATTTACTTTAAAAGTTTTTTTTTTTGCTTTTAGTCATGCTTTGTGTTTTTATACTTTTGTAATCTAGAACAATAATATTAGATTTTTCTTAAAAATCTATTTATTTGTTTGAAAGAATAACAGAGAGGGAGAGACAGAGATTCTCCAACTGCTGGTTCATTCCCCAGATGCCTGCAATGGCCAGGACTGGACTAAGCTGAGGCTGGGGGTCTGGAGCTTCTTCTGGGTTTCCCATGTTGCTGACAGGTGTCCAAATAATTGCGCCAGCTTCTGCCACTTTTCCTAGGCCATTAGGAGGGGGATGGATCATAAATGGAGTAACCAGGATGTGACTTCGCATCCATATGCTGGCATTGCAGGTGGTTGCTTTACCCATTGTGCCACAATGATGACCCCTAATATTAAGTTTTCTAAACTAGAAATTTCCAAGTTAAATCAGATAGGTGTTACGTTTTATTTTCTTAAAGGCTTAGCCTAGAAATAATGCATAATCAAGGATATTTGTCACATCAATTTAATTGGTAATAATGGACATGAGGAAAGTTTTTACAAACTATGAGTCAGCTTTTAATGCTACTTGATGAATGAGCCTATTGGGTACAGGTTTAAAATGTAATTATGAGATTAAATGCTTTCAATGTTTTGTTGAAATTTCTATGATAGTCTTTGAGATATTAGTTCAGTACATTTTAAATTTACAGAGAAGTTACAAGAATATCGCCAGGAACTTCCTGATACTGTTAAGCACATACACTGATTATAAAACAGCCATTTTAAAGTAATCAACATTCTCCTAGGTAAACACTTTTGAGCTCCTGCTGCCTGATTTAATATTTGGTCGAACATTAATATTCAATAAATTTTGATCAAATTAAAAGTTTAAAAATATTGTGAGGTTATTTGAAAAGTTAACAAACTTCTCTGGTTCACTGTTGAAGTTATATTGCAATTTGACTTATTATCTTTTCCTTTTTTGCCTCTTAAGGCAGATCTAGATGCATGTATTTCTGCTAAGAAGATTCATTTTTGCTAAAGGCTTCAAGAGACCTGCTATAGGCTTTAATGTACTTCACTTTAATATCCTTTTCATATTTTAGGGTTGTTAGTATTAGCGAATGACTTTGGAGTATTGGTAAATTTGAATTAAAATTATATATTTATTTAAGGTAGAGATTGTAGTAATTCCATGATATGAAAGATAATCCTTCATAATCTATTATTGGTTTAAATAAAAAAATATGGGTAGCCCATTTGGCTGCCCATAACATTTTAAAATACACAGATCATCTTCGGGGAAGATTTTACATGTTTGGGAACTAGTCATTAGGACTACTGTAAAGTTATTTTTTTATTAATAATTGTTATTGTTCTTTTGCAGTGGAATAATAAGCAGAAATAAGGCTTTATTCCAGAAACCTTTTTTTAAATTTATAGCTGCTACTCCAATGGTAAACCATTGTTGAATGATGGCATGTCCTTTACCAACATGTTGTGATTTTGTGTGTTTCACAGCTTGGGCAACACTAAAACACTCTGGTTTGATGTATAATTGTATAATTTGGTTCAAACGATTTAACTTACACCTCAAGTTTTTGTACTGTCTTCATTGCTTAATGTGTCTATATTACTGCTATAAACAACATTTTTGTTTGATTTTATTTTTGCTTTCTTTCAGTTGAAAAAAATTTTGAACTTTTTTTTGGCTTTTTTAGGGATTACATCAAAATTCGACTTAATTTTTCCATTACCCAAAGTAATACTAAAGTATGTGTTATAGAATAGTAGGTTTAATATAGGTTTAATCGTAGATTTAATATGTTATATGCTGTATCCATTAGGAAGTCACAGTGCATTTATATTACTGTAAAAGCTTTGAGCAGGTTTTTGCTAAAGACACTGGTTAGCATTAACTCATGGTTTCCCAATTTTATTTACTTATTCCTGTATAAAAAGGAAATTACATCTCTCATATACCTATACTAGTCACTTGTTAATGAGGAGATCGATTTGGATAATTTAGTTCAGAGTTTCTCAAAATGTATTTAATTATATTTGGGAATATTAAGAAATATTATTTGAAAAAAGAGTTCTGTGATTTAAGTAAATTACATTCCTTCTGTAAACGATAGACCTATCGTATGCCGTGAGATCCTTTACCCGTTGGCTTCCAAGTGTTACCTTATTTTACATTTCTAATGTGTATTTCAGAAATAGGAACTATGTAAAACCTTCTGATGTAGTTGAAGGTTGATCGAGGGCTGAAGCTCTGCCCACCCCTGAGGCTCCGGGGGACCAAGCTGAGCTGCGCTGTCTCTGATGATGCAGCCCTAAGAAGGTGGAGCTTCACTGTTACCACTGTTAGCAGCAGTTCTTGTTTCTGGCTGCTTTTGCTCTTCAGTGGCACAATTGTAATAGTTACAATGTAGAGCTTGCAACCTCAAAGCCTAAAATAATTATTTTAGAACCTTTATTTTAGAAAGTTGTTGATCTCTCCCTGGTTAATCTATCTAATGTGAATCAGAATGTTAAAATACTTAAGAGCAAGCAATTGCTGCTTTATTTTACCTGTAGTCACCAGTTCCTGGGATTTTTATTTCTGTCTCTTAAATGTTTTTAAATGTCAACATTTTTGGAAGTCAGCATAACTTTTGTAAGAAAATGTTCCTTCACGTATTTTTTTTCTTAGTGACTCTTAAGTTTCCAGGAGTAAGTTGAGAGCTTTTCAGTTGTTTTCTTTGTGTTGTGTTTTGCTTCTTTTGCAACTAATGCACTGCATGTGGTGGTTTGCAGTGGTATCATTGGTCGTAGCAGGAAAGAATTCAAGAGATACTTATTCAACTTCATCGCTGCCATGCCTCTTGTAAGTTTAATTCTTTAAAAATCTCGCTTAAGTAGTGAAAATTTGCGTCCTTGTTAAAATCTTTAAGATGTCTTGCTTATTGAATTCTTTAAAAATGTGTGACATTGCATTCCTATGTTGAGCTTAGTCATAATAATTTATAGCATAATTTTTCAGTATGTTTGTGCTACTTAGAGAAATTAAAAGGAATTGTGTACTAAGTATGTATAAATTTTATTCCTAGTTATGTACATAATTTATTTTTAATCATCAGGCCCAACTTTATCCAGTTTTTAGTTTATCCTGTTAGCTGGCAACAGCACCTGTCTTCCAGGTGTGACAGAAAGGTGTTTCTAGGTATTCCCAAATTAGGACATATCCTGATTGAGAACTGTTGGTTTAGGCTATGGTTTAGTCTCTCCCCTGGGTGGCACAGGCCCAGATATTTGGGCCATCCTCCATTGCATTCCCAGGTGCATTAATAGGAAGCTGGGTTAGAAACAGAGCAGCTGGGATTCAAACCAGAATTCCAGTGTGAGATTTTGTGTCCTGAGCTGTATTTTAATATGCTACGTATAACACCAGCCTCCTTAAACTATGTTTTTAGTAAATGTAACTTCAGTGTTTATACAATTCCATATCTCAGTTTGTGGTGTTGATGGAAAAAAACCAGATGATATAAAGATAAATAACTCCCCAAAGCAGATCTTTGTATTAGATAAAAATGTGACAGATTTATTTACAAAATTTACAGGGTGCAACTCATAATTAGAATTCAGTTTAATGTAAGATTATTAAAGCCAGTTGCACTTGAGTTGGCCTGTTTTCTTAGCATCAGTGTAAATGCTAAGTAAAACATCTAAATCATTTAAGTTTGGACTGTCAGTTATAAAAATCATAGGACTTGAGGACACAGTGAATGACAGAGAAATAATCAATATTTGCTTGCTTTTTTAGATCTCTTTGGTTAATAACTTCTTAAAGTATGGGTTAAATGAACTGAAACTATGCTTTCGAGTACGACTCACTAAATACCTCTATGAGGAGTATCTCCAGTAAGTGATATACCTGTTTTTATATTAAAATACTTAAATTGAGTCACAATATTTATGATCCTGGGGTATAGTTGTGTTTTTTATTTAACATATAAAAGCCTGCTCCTAGCCTGCTGTGAGGCATAGAAGCATCTGGGAAATGAGTTACCTGGAATCTGGTTCTCTTCATCTTTCTCTGGACTTGCTTCCTGTAAAAGTTAAAAAAAAAAACAAAACAGGAAAGAAAAAAAAAAGAGGGCCAGTTTTCAGTCTATCTGGCTCTAAACTTTTTCTGTTATATTAAATGAGGTAGAATAATGAAAGGTATTTTGCTTTGCTTTAAAAATCACTTGTTTTAAAGTCGTGTTTTTAACTGCTGTTTTAGAGCTTTCACGTATTACAAAATGGGAAATCTGGACAACAGAATAGCTAATCCAGACCAGCTGCTCACACAGGATGTTGAAAAATTTTGTAACAGTGTAGTTGATCTATATTCAAATCTTAGTAAGGTAAGTTTTTTTTTTTAATTATTTGTTTAATTTGTTGACCTTTGGTTTTAAGAAAAAGTCCTTAGAGTTGGATGGAGAAGTCATAACGTGTAAATATTTAATGTTTTTATAAGAACATTGGAGTTACTGTAATAGCTTTAATTGTATTTAGTTAGTTTTAATGTTATTTTTCTATGGTGTTTTGGCCAGGAACTGACAGGTGTCTTACAAAGACTTTGTAAGAGTTTAAAGGCTAGAATTTTCAGGCTGAAAAGACATTTGAACTTTCATTTCTTCACCTGTGTATTTCTAGCATTTGTTACAGATTGTCAGTTTGTGTTTCTAGTCGCACATCCATAACAATAAATAGAACTTCTTTCCCTGCCTGTGTGTCTGCTTCCGTATCTCTAATAGAGCAAAAAAATTTTACAAGAAGTTAATTGGCTTTAGTTTTCTAGAAATTCTTATTTATTTAAAAGGGGAAGAGCAAGAGATAGAGACAGTCACTGGTTCATTCTCTCCTGAAATTCCGATAACTACCGGAGCCGGGCCAGGCCAAAGCCCGGAGCAGGAACTGAGTTTCCCAAGTAGATAGATGGTAGTTACCCAACTAATTGAGTCATAACCTGCTTCCCTCCAGTCTGTGGTAACAGGAAGCTGAATTCTGATGCAGAGCTGGGACTGGAAGCCAGGCACGTTGATGATGGTGGTGTTACAAGTGGTGTCTTAACTGTTCTCCAAACGCCCATCCATGTAGTTTTCTAATTACTGTTTTCTCCTTCACAGAATGTTGTCAAAGCCCTTAACTTAGATAGGCCCTTACTGATTTTTTCCTCTTTGTGCTAATTTCTTTAGTTCTTACTTGTCTTAGATATCTTGTCTCACCACCCTTACAGCTGTTACTGTGTCTTCTTAAGACTTATTTGTCATGACCTCCTGCACTGACTAGGATCTTCTCCCCTCTTCCTGATAGGTTCATCATCCTGTCACAGTTGGTCCAGATATCCATTCTTGGGGCAAAAATATATATATAAGGGGCTGAGTTAAGACTTGGAGCACTCCTGCTTCTGCCATGTTGATGGAGAGGATAAGCAGTTCTTAGAAAAATTGGATAATCCACACTAGCTTCCCACCCTGTGCACAGGCCACTACGAAGATAGTTTTTCACTTTGTGAAGATCTTTGTTCTTTATTGAGTTCTCCAGAATTTTTTGTTGAAGGTGGGGCAGGGGAGTACATGAAAGTGTTTATATAAGTTGTTAGATAATGTTTTTATTTATTTATTTGAAAGGCAGAGCCACAGAGACGGTGAGGTTTTTCCTTCACCTGGTTCACTCCCCAAACGACAGTAGTCAAGGCCGGACTGACCAAAGCCAGGAGTCAGGGCCTCAAGTGCTTGAGCCTTTCCAGAATATGCACTAACAGGAAGCCAGAGTGAGAAGTGGAGCCAGGCCTTCCCTGAATGCAGGGATTCCTGTTTGGAATGCAGGCATCCCTATTGTGTAAATGAATTTTGTAGTCAAAACATTATGCATTTTTCCCCATTGTGGTACTAAGCAAGTTTATATTTCAGCTTTTCATGTCTGTGCTAGTGAAGATGGTGATGGTCATCAAATTAATTGTAGTGGTTGTATGCATTACAATGTGTTGTTTTAAGCGTCTACTTGTTTGACTTAAATATGAGTCATTGTATTTGTCAACAACTCAAATGTACCTGAGTTTTTAACTATCTCTACTTTTTAGTAATTTATAGGGGGAAGAAAAGGTAGATGCTAGTACGAGTCCAGTAATAAACCAAGCCATCTATTCTAGTAATAATATTGGTATCAATCAGAAAGAGATGGCTATGGACCTAAAGTGAATGAACACAGTCTGTGTTTCTTGGGACAACAAAATATATGCAGCTAACGTGTTATCAGTTGAACTGTCTCTGTGTGAGGAGCAGTATATTCATGTGTATTCTCAAGACTTGAGTTTTATATCACAAAATTAGATTTATAAGCTCGTATCATTATTTCAGTATATGTGTTATAAGATAATTGAATAAAAAGATATTAAAGCAGGAAGAGCCTTATTTTGCATGCAAAGATACATGAAAAGCTGATAAGTGATTTGAGATTGCAACTCAGGTCATTTTATTTGGTGTCTTTTATCATATCTTTTTCCTACTTGATATTCAGCAGACATTGGTCAAGCTATCAATATTTTAAGTTTCTGAAGATAAGAATTGTATCTGATGTATTTATTGATATATGTTTTGTTATAGTACATAATGGGAACCCTACACGTCGACAAGTAGTAGTAGTATATTAACTATTATTCTAGTTTGTTAGATTTAATCAAATCAGTTCTCTGTTTTTAATTCTGTGTTTTTCAATATTTTGCAGCCATTTCTAGACATAGTTTTATATATCTTCAAGCTAACAAGCGCAATTGGAGCACAAGTAAGTCTGCTTTTATTCTACCTTTTAAATTGTTGATAAGTATTTTCAGTAGCTTGGGAGTCTGTAAGAATATATGTATTTCTCAAAGAATTTTCATAATTGTGTCTTCACATGATGTACCTAACAGTCTAGTTATAAAACAGTATTATAATAATGCTGTAATAATAATAATAATAGATTTAAAAGGTATTCTAGTTTGATGTTTTATTTTTCTTTAAGTCAGATACAGTAATAACCAAAAATACATAAATGTGGAAAATGCATGTACTTTTTCTATAATAATATATGTAAAAAGATGAATTTAACTATTTAATATGAAATTTAAATGTTGCACTAGCAACCCATATAAAATGGATATAACAGTTTCAAGAATGTTTTATAATAACATGTATTGTTGACTGTATTTTTATTAAGGTCTAAACTACAGTTATTTAATATGTACTCTTATATATTTATAACACAATCATGTAATTGTGATTATTTTATATGAATATATACATCTTAATTGATTAATACATAATTTACATGGTGATTTGTTTAGCTTTACAAAACACTGAGGAAAGTTTTTTTTTATTTTTTTGCAAAATTTTCTTTATTTGAAGGCAGAATTACAGAAAGGAGGGGGAGACAATAAGAGAGAAAAAAGAAAGAGAAAGTCTTCCATCTGCTGGTTTACTCATCCAAATGGCCACAGTGGCCAGAGCTGGGCCAGATAGTGTTATATTTGTATTTCTTAAAATCAAACTTTTCATTATGTGTTTTACTCATTTGCTGTAGTTGTTGAAATATATTGAATCATTCAGAGTTAATTAAACATTTTAAAAAGTATACTGTATTCTACATATATTGTGGTAGGAATATGAAATAGTTAGACACAGTTGTTTTATCCATTCATCCATAGATACACAAATCTTTGTAATTGAATAGTGATGCAATAAACCTAGGAGTGGGATAGCCTGGGGGGTGGGAAGGTGTTAGAACTGTTTTCAGTTTTTTACAAGTTTCTATACTCTTCTCCATAACTATAAAAGCTACAAGAATGTGTGTTCCTACCAACAGCTTATCAGGGTTTCTTTTTTCCACATCCTTCATTTATTTTCTCTTGTTTGGAATGGCCATTCAGATGGTACCTTGTGTTGATTTTTACTGCCTTTTCCAGTTTGCTAGTGATCCTGGGCATTTTTCATGTATTTGTTGTATATAAGGCGTGTGTGTGTATATGTATATATATATATATATATATGATCAGATATTACTCAATCACTCAGAAGATTGAAATTCTGACATTTGTAACAAAATGGGTAAAATTAGTGAGCTAAGTCAGACACAGAAGGGCAGATACCATATGTTTTCTTTCATTTGTGGAAATCAAATATATGTATGTAGGTGGGAATATATAGTCAGTATGAATCTAAATACAGTCTTACCAGAGGCTGAGAAGAATGGAGGAATATGAGAAGATTTGATAATGAGTACCATAACAGTCAGGTGAAGGTGTTTCATGGAACAGTGGGCAAGTAAATGGAAGGGCTAGTTGGTATGATTACTTTGTTATGTATATGTGGAAAGATTAAACTCTATCCTGTAGAAAGTGTAGGTAGTTGATATTAATCAAAAATTTAAAAGATAATGCAGAAGAAAACCACAGTCCCTGCTCAAAGAAATTATCATTTGGTAAAAGAAGTAAATATTCAGACAGTTATAGTGTGGTGTGATAAATGTGAGAATGAAACCTTCAGTAAAGTATTCAGTGCCTGGAAGAATCAAAGTTGCTTTTGAACTGCTTTAGGGAGTAAAGTTGCCTTCCACCCTTACCACAATGCTGTGTTCAGTGCAGTGGAGCCCGGGTTATGTAAAGGTATTGAGGGAAGGGCTTGTGATGAGCTTAAAAGGTAAGCGTGTGGTTTCTCTTCTGAGCTTGTCAATGGCTGAAGAGTTCACTTAATGGAAGTAGAAGTGCAGCTGAAACAAGGAGTACAGACAGGGGCAGGCAGCCGGAGCTGCTTAGGGGGATGTGAGCTGGAGTTCTTACGTTGAAATCATATCTTGGGTACATTAGAGTGTTGGACAGGAGGTGTGAATTTATAACAGGGAAAAAATCTGAAAGAAGATAAATATCCAAAGAGACAGCAAGAAAGACATCTGAGGACTCTGTGGAGTCTTAAAATGTTAAATAAGAAGAGTTCTAACAAAGAATATTACATGCCACAGAAAATGAATTGCAATGAAGATATTTTAAGTGAGCAAACACACTGGAGCAGAGGGATGAGCTGCGATGATTGGAAGAGGAACAGATGATTGGTGAAAGTAGAGAGGCTAGTGTTTCTTCAGAAAAGAAGCAAGGGGAGAATAGTTACCATCTCGGGCGAGCAGTTTCTCAAAATCATTGATGATCATGGTACATGTAACTCTGTATCTTTCTTCCTAATAATGACAGGGCCCAGCGAGCATGATGGCCTACTTGCTTGTGTCTGGACTGTTCCTAACTCGACTTAGAAGACCTATTGGTAAGATGACAGTAACTGAGCAAAAGTACGAAGGTGAATATAGATACGTTAATTCCCGGCTCATCACAAACAGGTAAGGAGGGATGTCGCAAAGCTACACTACACTACATTTCACTTTATAGATGTTGGTGTAACATCTTTGGATTCCCAAAAGTCTGGGAACATCCATTTTTACTTGTTTTGAAAGTATTTCAAAATTGTGAAAGTTACTCATTTTGTAAAATAATAATCTTCCACATTTTGAACATTGTTTTTAAAAGATAATTATTTCCTGGTTTATGTGAAAGGCAGAGATAGGAACTTTCGTCCACTGGTTTCTCACTGTCTGCACCAACTTGAACGTGGCTAGGCCACAGCCAGGAGCTGGGAATGTAGTCCAGGTCTCTGTGTAGGTAGGTGGCAGGGACCTGACTGCCTGAGGCATCATCTGCTGCCTCCCAGGGTATAGACTTCACATCAGTAAGCAGCTGACATAGGCCCAGAACTGGGCCTGGATCATGGGCATTCCAGTGGGGCTTGCCAGAGTCCCCAGTCACATCCTACCTAGGGTGTGGTGAGTGACCAGTTTTCAAATCATTTGTTTTTAAATATAGTCATGGTATAATTAAAATTTCAATTTTCTAATATTCCTCAAAGAAAATTTGGTTACAGTTTGTCCAAAAAAATTTAAAAATTTTTTTGTAATGCTTAATAATTCATCCTCAGTTACCTGTTTCTATATATGTTCCAGTTTTAATGGAAGAAGCACATGTTTGGACCCAGCTATACTAGTTTCAGAATCTGTGTCCTCTGCTTACCAGCTTTATGATCTTAGCATGTTATTCAAAGCTTCAGTTTTCCTGTTCATAATAGGCATATAAGGTTATTAGGATTAAATTCAGTTGTGTATATACACACAGCTTTTAGCTCAGTTTTGGTTAAGGAGCAAGAGTTAAAATTTTCTCGTGATCGTCAACTTTGAGTCGTTTTGAGGGTCCTAATGTTTATTTACTAATAATGTTTTATGTACAGGCTTCTCTAGGAGTTTACCAGATTACTTTGGAAATTGCTTTTATAAGTTTCTCTTCCTTATTTCCTTGGAATACCAAAATAACACCAATTTTGAATGGGGTTTTATGTTTTCGGGAAGCAGAGGAATAGATTGTTAAATGGAGAGTGACTTGCCAACTAAATGAATGATGCCCTTGGCTGGGATCTTTATGAATCAGGTGGTTCCAGCAAGTGGACATTAGCTGTGTCACCTAAGGCAGGGCAGTGCCCAGTACACCGTGGTCACAGCTCTGTGTCCTTGTTCTCTTGGCTCTGCCTTCCTTTGTGTTTCCCTTTCCCTCAGCCAGTTCTTCTTACATTCACCCCGATTTCACCAGCTTCTCTTCCCTGCAGAGAGGTCCAGAAATAATAAGGGGCCATTACTTCTTAGCAGAGATATTCTGCCACCAAGTCCCACAGCCAATTTTGCTTTCCATCTCATTGACCAGAAAGACCTCTGGCTTGTGACTGAAGCAGTCACTGTGGGTGCTGTAATCAGCAGAGAAGGAGCAGGTGGATGTTAAGTACAGACCAGTGCTTGACAGGCTGCACATAGCTCTTAGTCACAAGATATTCATTTACATACAAATGCTCAGTCACTAAATAACTGTATTTCCATTATTTTCAAATTTAGCTGCCATTAAAATTAATTGCTAAATTGTTTTTTTAATAGTGAAGAAATTGCCTTTTACAATGGAAATAAAAGAGAAAAGCAGACAATCTACTCAGTGTTTCGAAAACTGGTAAGGCATATATGTTGTTGGAGAGAATTTTATTTGGCTTATATTGTCTTTAAGTTGTGCTGATATGTGTGTGTTTATATGTGTGTGTATATATGTATGTTTACATATACATATATATCTTTAAAATGTATATATACACATAAACATATACCTGTGTATATAACTTAGATATTTTAAGTAGCTGTAAATTAATCCTATTTGTATTTTTAATGGGAAACATGAGGTTAACAATTATATCAATTAAATGGGAGAATCAAGATGGTGGAATAGGGTAAGGACACGTTTAAATGGACGGAGAAACATTTAATTAGGATGAAGCAGAGAGGACATATTTCAGGAAATAGGAAAGGACAGAACAACAGCAGAGGGGTACCTGGAGACTGACAGACACAGGAAAGCAGCGGGCACAGCAGTGTGGTGTTGCAGTGACTGATATTCCAGCATGGTGATCGGAATTCCACCAGCAACCAGGTGGGAAGGGACTTTCACTGGGAGCTTGGGAGGTGAATCCAGACAAAGAACTGTCTGTCCTGCTGGTCCGTTTGATTTGACCAGAAGCAGAGACAGAGCAGCACATCTTAGACGGGCAGTATGAGAACAGAGTGGATTTCTAGTCAGGCCCCTGGAGCTGAATTCAGTGCCATTTTGCGTAAGGAGGAAAGGGCAAGGAAAAGGACTGAGCATGCTCTGAGTGGGGAGTGAACTCATTTCTAACTTGGTGAACTACAACAATGTGGCATTCTACGGGTTCCACCCAGGCCAGGTCTGGGTAGCCCTCGGATCTGACGGCCAGCAGATCAAGAACTGTAGTGGTGGTACGACAGGCGCCATTTTGTGCACCGTGGCAAAAGCTTTGGGACTGCAGGGGACAACAGTGAAGTGTGCATGTACTGAGCTTGCGAGAACTCGCTGAGGTCCTGCAGGAAAATAATACTGACTGTGGCGTCGTACAGGTCAAAATAGGTCCGTGTGGCACCCAGACCTAACGTCCAACAGGTTCCAATAAGATCAGCAGCACCAATAAACTAACTAGATAAGATACTTGGTGTCTCTCTAATCCTGGGACCTGCTCCAACCAGAAGTGGGAGAAAGGTTGCAGAGACAACGGTGCAGCCTCAGCACGGTATCTATCACAGGAGGTGGAGAGTGGTGAGCCAAGAGCTGGGGCTGTGGAGACCACAGTGGAAATCTGAAATAAGAACCCAGACCTGGAACTCGCTGGAGATTGTGGCACAGGTGGCTGCAAGCAAAAGGCTGTGTACCAACTGCAATAAGTGAAATCGCATTGTAGACCTGTGGGTGACACAGCTTAGAAACCTGCCCCAAGAAGAAGACTCTGCTAACCAGAAGTACAATGATCAAGAGCAAAAGAAAAGACAAAGGCACAATGAATATTGCTGAAAACTCCCCTGCAAAGGAGCAAAACCCTTTGGCAACCTCATAGTGAACTGAGGGAAGACATCGAGAAAATGGGGGACACAGAATCCATAAGACTCATTTTAAAGATTTTGATAAAAAATGAGAAGCTCATGCAAGAGTTCAAAGAATTTAAGGAAGCAGTAAAGCAAATCAAGGCTGGTATATCAGAAATTCAGAACACAGTAGAGTAAATTAGAAGTGCAGTGGAGAGTCTCCAAAATAGAATGAAGCAAGCAGAAGGAAGAATCTCAGAATTGGAAGATATCTCCTGTCACCAGGGGGAAGCAAACAAAAAGCTGGAAGCAGAGTTGGATCAGGCCAAAAAAAGTATTCAAGAATTGAAAGACACTATTAAGAGGCCAAATATAAGAGTTATTGGAGTCCCAGAAGGTGCAGAAAGAGAAGCTGGGTTTGCAAATGTATTTAATGAAATAATCAAGGAAAATTTCCCTAATCTGGAGAAAGAATTGGGAAACAAGGTCTAGGAGGGGTAATGAACTCCCAACAGCCTTGATCAAAAGCAATCCTCACCAAGACATATGATAGTCAAGCTCTCTTCAATTGAGCATAAGGAAAAGATAATTAAATGTGCACGTGAAAAAAAATCAATTGACATATAAAGGAATGCCAATTAAGCTCACAGGAGATCTCTCACAGGAAACTATAGGCAAGAAGAAAATGGAGTGACATATTCCAGATTCTAAAAGAAAATAATTGTCGGCCTAGGATAACATATCCAGCAAAGCTTTCTTTTGTCTTTGAAAATGAAATGAAATTCTTCCATAGTAAAGAGAAGCTAAAAAAATTTGCCTCTACCAAACTTGCCCTACAAAGAATACTTCAAGATGTTCTCTTGCCAGAGAAGAGGAATAGCACCCACCAAAACCAAAGGCAAATATGAAGAACATCTCAGTAAAATGACAACAGAAGACTAAACCAATGAACAACCATTCCTAAAATGACAGGACCAAATTGCCACCTATGTATATTTAACTCTGAATGTAAATGGCTTAAGCTCAGTCAAACATCATAGATTAGTAGACTGGATTAAAAAACAAAACTCATCTGTTTATTGTCTGTAGGAGACAAACTTCAACAAAGATCAGTGGAAACTATATCACATGGGTTTTGTTGTTTTCTGTTGCTTTCATCTCTTCAAAACACTTTCTTCTGATTAAATCATTCAATAACTCGTAGATCATGCAGTGGCATCATTTTCTTCAAGAAGGTTCTTGATTTTCATTTCTTCAGCTACACGTTAGTCATTTAATAGCATGTTGTTTAACTTCTTGGTGTTGTTAATTTTTTTCTTATTGATTTTGTTTTGTGGCTCTTCATTTAAGGGAATGTACAGTAGTTGTATAATGGAGACTGTCTTATCTAGTAACATGTCGTTTAACTTCATGGCATTGTCAATTTCTATTTTTCTTTCTATTGTTGATTTTGTATCATGACTTTTCATTTGAGGGGAAATAAAGACTAACATCCAAATGTGAGGATGCAGTGTGGTATGCATTTCTGCTTCCAGACAAGGATGGACTTACAATGAAACTATTTACTATATCTTGACAATAGGATTCTGGACTTTCTGCCATTGTCCATGCCCACAATGATGGACATATGACTGAGTATGAAGAACTGTAATTTAGTAATGAAATAAAGGAACTAGGTGGGGCAGGGAGGAAACTGGAGAGGGGATAAGGGAATATGGAACTGTGTCATAAAATGATAGCAGTAATAATCAAATGTAAAAAAATTAAATAAAATTAAAAGAAGAAAATGTAAAAAAACAATTATATCAATTAAATGGCTCACTTATAAAAATGGATAGAATTTATTAGTCATCAGTGCATTTTTACAGATATTTCTTAGGAATTTTTTATTTAGATTTATTGTTTTTATCAGAAAGGCAGATTTATAGAGAGAAGGAGAGACAGAGAGAGAACTTCCATCTGCTGGTTCACTCCCCAAGTGAACACAACAGCAGCACTAAGTTTGTGAAATTAAATATATATTTTAGATTATTTAGAAAGGGTGAAGTTGTCATTTTTGATCTGTTTCAGAAATTGGATCTTCAGCATGTTGATGTTTAATATAACTATTTGAATAGGCTCACTGATAATGCATTGAAGGTATTTTGTCATGTGTTCTTCACATGGCTTATTGATCCTCATCCTTCAAAGTTTCAGTCAACATGATCGTGCCTTTTATGGGGCTTTGCCTTCTCTTATCTGCCTATTCGGAGAGTTACTATCAGTTATGTGTTTCTTCAAAAGCATATATTGCTAATTGCAATTACCTTGTTTGTTTACTGGTTGTCCTCTTTCACTAGGATGTAAACTGCATGAGCTCAGGAACTGCATCTGTTGTTCCCATTGTTGTATCTAGCTGTGAGCAGTGTATGACACTTGATATTCATTGCATAAAAGCCCAAACACTTTCCTAGTTGCAGACAGCCCCATGAACAAATGACCCTTACGCCTAGGAAACCATGTTTTAGTGGCAAGTAGTAATAAATTCTGTGACCAAAATGAAGTGGTAGACTATTATAAAGAATAGTGATTAGCTATTTTTGGCTAGAAAGGTCAGAAAGGTCTTTGTTGAGATAATGCTTACACAAAAAGCAATGTGAAATGAAGGAGTTAGTCATAAGATGTACATTTTTAGGAAGAAAGTCCTGGTAATGTGGATAGCAAGAAGAAAGCCTTAAGGAAAGATTATTTGAGGAATTGGTGTATATGGGGCTCTGGAGCAAAGGAACAGCTGACATTGAGCTTGAAAATGGGTCCCGGGGCCAAGCTATGTATGACCTTGAGTCATCTGATAGGTGGGTTGTTAAAGAACACTGACAAACCAGAATTTAAAAAAAAGTTTTTATGCTCAAATTAAAGCTACAGAGTTAGGTTGAGTGGCATTGATTTACATTAATACTTGATTTGGATTTTGTGTGAATATTTTTTGAGGAAGTGCAGATTATAATACATGTCTCTGTGAAAGTGAATCATCTAGTACTGATTGGTGCTACTGGTGTTGTAAAGCAAATGAATGTCCTGTTTGCTTTGGTTGTTAATGAGTTTAAGGATGTATAAATCTGACAGTTTTGTGACTGTGATGGCATAGGACTGTTGCATGCAAAGGAAAACAGTGTTGTTAAAATGACTTACATGATTTCTGTTCTCATAAAATGGTTCCGTGAAGTCCTTGACAACTCCTCTGTGAATAGCATTCTGCTCAGATAAATAGCTGCATGATATAATCAGAAATCAGTCACAGGGCCCGGCACGGTGGCGCAAGTGGTTAAAGGTCCTCACCTCGCACGCCCGGGATCCCATATGGGCACCGGTTTTAATCCCGGCAGCCCCGCTTCCCTTCCAGCTCCCTGCCTGTGGCCTGGGAAAGCAGTCGAGGACGGCCCAAAGCTTTGGGAACCTGCACCCGCGTGGGAGACCCAGAAGAGGCTCCCGGCTTCGGATCAGCATAGTATCGGCCCGTTGCGCTCACTTGGGGAGTGAATCATCGGACGGAAGATCTTCCTCTCTGTCTCTCCTCTCTGTATATCCACCTTTCCAATGAAAAAAATAATAAAAATAAATCTTTAAAAAAAAGAAATCAGTCACACAAGAAATATTTATTGAATATATTAATTCTAAAGTTTGTTTTATCCTCATGGTATGTTTGAATTCTCTAAGTATAGGAAAAAATATGTAATTTTTGTTTTTGTTTTCTGCTAGGTGGAGCATTTACATAATTTCATTTTGTTCCGGTTCTCCATGGGTTTCATTGATAGTATAATTGCCAAATGTGAGTATATTTTAAAAGAGATAGTTCATTGAAATTAGAGAAATAATTGAAGTACAGCTAACGTTTCAAATCGCACATCTTGTTTCAGACCTGGCAACTGTGGTTGGTTATCTAGTTGTCAGCCGCCCTTTCCTCGACTTGTCTCATCCTCGACATCTCAAGAGCACACATTCAGAACTTCTGGAGGTATAGTGATGATAATAAAATGGAAAGTCAAAGCTAAAAGTAGAACCTAATATTTATTTTGGAAATGTGAGTGAAAAAATATTGTTTATTTCTGTTTAAGGATTACTACCAAAGTGGAAGAATGCTTTTGCGAATGTCCCAAGCTCTGGGTCGAATAGTTTTGGCTGGGCGTGAAATGACTAGATTGGCTGGGTAAGATTAGTCATAATAATAAAAAGTAGCCGAGAATAATTTTTAAAAATACGCTTATCTTTAGTTAATGTATACTGTTGAGGTTAAGATAAGGGGAAATTCCTTATTCTAGCAAACTGGTTTCTATGGAAAAGTGAAACTTCTCTCCGACAGTGAACTTTTCGTGTTTCCTGGAGACAAGTGTCTGGAGCTTTGTGCTAGATTAGTGATCAGCAGGCTGTTGGTCCATGGACACTGGACCAGTTAATATCTTCATGGCCAAGATAGAATGCATAAAATACTATAAGGATTCCTTTTCTGTTGCAAATACAGTTCTTCATGGTTTGTGGCATAAGGGGTGCATCTGTTCATTTAGGATTTTTTGAGCCATTTATTGAGGTATAGAAAACAATACATTTTATGTATTCAGTAAACACAGGGATAAGTCATATACCTGTGATTCCGTTGGCACACTCAGCTGCACGAGCATACCCATCATGTTTCCAAGTTCCCTAAATTTCCTTAGGAAGTTCCTCATTGTGTATAACAGAAAAATCCTGTCTGCTTCTCTCACTTTCTCTTGGACCGTCTTGTCATTTTTATACTCCCAAATCTTTTGTCATTAGCTTTGATTTCTCTAAATTACCACAATGATTTCCATCTAATGTTAGCGCTTGCCTTCTTTCTTCTTTTATTTAAATTTTTATTGGAAAGTCAGAGAAAGAAAGAGAGAGAAAGATCTTCCATGCACTAATTCACTTCCCAAGTGGCTGCAATGGCTGGAGCTTTGAGCTCGATCAGGAGCCAGGAGCTTCTTCTGGATCTCCCACGCGGGTGCAGGGTCCCAAGGCTTTGGGCCATTCTCTACTGCCTTCCCAGGCCACAAGCAGGGAGCTGGAAGGGAAGTGGGGTATCCTGTATATGAACCAGCACCCATATGGGATCCTGGTGCATGCAAGGCCACTTTAGCCACTAGGCTACTGTGCCAGGCCCTCTTTATCCCTCTTAAGAAATATCCCCAATTCTTCCCTGTTTGCATGCACTTGACATGCATCTGATAAATACTTTGCCCAGATAGAAAACCCAACTTCACACCTGGCTTCCTAGGTCCCTGTAATAGAAACTTAGTGTCCATACTTCCTGGTCTGAGGAATGCATCAGCAGTAGTCCTTTGGTAATATCTAGGAGAAACTTCCTTAAAATTCTGCCAGCCAGCAGTCGCTTTGCCTTGTTTCTTAACAAAGTATCTATTGAGATGGAGCTTATGGGAACCTGTTGCTTTATGCCCTTGTTGCTGCTCTCCCACCGAAGCCCCATAAAACATGTATTATTACTAACTGCATGTTGATGCAGTCTTTTTGGATTGTTTAATTTAAACTTGAGTATGATTTTAGAAACTAAACTTTGCATAAGATAAAGATTAGTAGTACTATGCAGTTTTAATTATTTTTTTCTTTTATTTTTAGTTTTACTGCTCGAATTACGGAACTAATGCAGGTATTAAAGGATTTAAATCAAGGCAAATATGAACGTACAATGATCTCACAAGAAAAGGGTAAATATGAATCTTAGGATTTAGGTTACATATGATGCTTTTGCTGGCATGGTATGATTGATGCATTAATTCTTACTTTTCATTTAAGGTATCGAAGAAGCACAGATGAGCCCCTTGATTCCTGGTGCTGGAGAGATCATCAATGCAGATAACATTATAAGGTATGTGTAGCAAGGGATTCTTCAGCACTGCCAACGCTTGCTCATCTTCCGAGGAACCATTCTCTTCCAGCCTCCGGTTGCTTCTTGTTTAATTTTAAATTGTCCTTTTTTAAAATGGCTTTTGATATATAAAAATTATGTATATTTAAGGTATACAACTTGATGTTTTGATTTGTGTATGCGTTTTGCAGTAGTATTCCCTGCTTCCAGGAATAATTAATGCCTTTATCTATCACTTAGTAACTTGTTACTATTTGTGAGAGTGAGTGAATGGGCAGATTGGTGTGTAGGAGTGGTAGGAATTTAACATCTGTCTTAGCAGATTTGGAGTTTTCTGTGTAGTATTGACTGTTGTCCCTAGACTGTACATGAGAATTTACTCATCTTGCAAAACATAATGGAGACTTCGATAAGTTTGAACAGTGTTCCCATCCCCCTTCTCTTAGTACCTGGCAGCCGTCATTTTATTCTCTGTTCCTATAAATTTTGCTATTACAGATTTCACATAAAGTAAGATCATACAATACATCTGTGTCTTACTCATTTTACTTAAAACAATGTGCTTCATTACTGGGGTTGAAAATAGCACAAGACAGGATACACTTGCATGCTATGTTTTCATTATCCTTGTTAGAAATTTCTGAGTTGTTGTCATAGTGAACATGGGAATTAAGAATATCGTTGAGATCCGGATTTTATCTTTGATTGTATATTCAGAAGTTGACTTGCTAGATCATACAGTAATGTTTTGAACATGGAGGGGGGAACCTCGTTGCTATTTTCCATAATGGATATACTAATTTACATTTCCACCAATAGTGTAGAAGGGTTTACTTTTTTTCCTCATCTCACCATTAATTTCTTTTGTCTTTTGGTAAAATCGTGTTAGGTGTTAGATTTAGTTTGCTGTGATTTTGATTTGCTTTTTCTTTTAAGAATAGAGATACTATTTTTGCATTTTTTATATACCTAATGACTTTCTGAATTTTTCTTTAACAAGTGTGTCTGATTAGGCCCTTTTCTCATTTTTTTCCACTTGTTATTTTTATTTGGGGTGTTTAATTGTATGATTTCCTTATTTGTTTTTAAATTATTCTTTTTATTCATTTCCTCGATAGGTTTGATCATGTTCCTTTGGCAACACCAAATGGAGACATTTTGATCAGAGATCTTAATTTTGAAGTAAGTTTTTAAGTGACACATAATAGTTTAAATTGCCTTCAAAATATAAATTAAAAAGTTGTTGTCTGAGTATTTAAATGAACTTTAATATTTGCCTTAATCTCTGAATCTACAGAATTGTTTTAAAAGAACATTTAGAAATATGTTTTTCTTAATTGATATAAAATTTCAAATACTGTCACCCCCAACCTGTATGCAAAGGAAATCTGTGTCATGATAGTCGCAGATGATACAGTTAATTGAAATCTTCAGTGGATCATGAATATTTATATATGCAGACATAATTTCCTCCTCTTTTAAATTTAAAAAAATTGTGATTTGAAGTTGCCTTTACTTTGCAAGAGAATTATACCTGTAAAAACAAAATAACGGGGTTTCTTATGACCGATACAAACTGTGTAAGATCAGTGTAATAACACTGCAACTAGCCGCTCTGAATGCAGATCCCTGGCTCAGGGACGGGGCGGGCTTAGCATGCCGCTCACAGTGCTTGGGTCTGAGTCCAGAATGTGATTCTGACTCCAGACGTATAAAAGCTGACTCTGGAAGGCAGCAGTGATGTTTCAAGTAGTTGGGTCCCTCCTGCCCTTGTAGGAAACCTCAACTCAGTTCTGGGCTCTTGGCTTTCACTGCGCTGGGTCTTGGCTGCTGCGGCATTTGTGGTGTAAACTTGTGGGTAGCAGATGTGTCTGTCTTTTCCCTCCTTTCCCTCCCTCCCTCTCTGCATCTCTCCCTCCCTCCCTTCCTTTCTCTTTTTATTTTTTTAGTTTATTTATTTGAAAGTTATGGGGGGGGGGTGGCGTGGAATGAAGAGAGAACCTCTATCTGCTGGTTCGTTCCTTCAAATGGCCACAGTGACTGAAATAGAGCTGGCCCAAAGCCGGGCACCAGGAGTTTCTTCTGAGTCTGCCGCAGAGGTGTAGGGACCCAAGCACTTGGACAATCTTCTGTTGCTTTCCCAGGCACTTTAGCAGGTAGCTGGATTGAAAGTGAAGCTGCTGTGACTCGAATTGCCACCCATGTGGAATGCTGACGCTACATGAAGCTTTATCAACTATGTCATAGTGCCAGCCCCTATGCCTTTCAAATTTAAAAAAAAAATAGATGCTTGGTGAATAATGATTCAGTCTGTTCATAACATATGGGGCCCTGTGCAATAGCGTAGTGGCTAAAGTCCACGCTTGCATGTGCTAGGATTCCAAATGGGTGTCAGTTCATGTCCTGGCTGCTCCACTTCCCTTTTAGCTCCCTGTTTGTGGCCTGGGAGAGAGAGAGAGAGAGAGAGAGAGAGAGAGAGACAGAGACAGAGACAGAGACAGAGACAGACAGACAGACAGACAGACATGCTCTGGGAAGAAGAAGCTGCCTGAAGTGGGTGAAAGTTAATGTGAGACTTCCCGATTGAATAGTGCTTGACCTTTCACTTTCCTTTTTTTGTGTTTTGGTGTGAACATAAGGTAGACTCACAGCACAGGCCCTTACATGGCTTAAGTGAGAAGGGATTTGGGAGCTCTGTGTCCAGGTACCTGGCTCTATCTTGCAGATGGCAATTATGGTCCACAATATAACTTTGCTGTAAGATTGCTTTATTTTTAGTGCAAGGCTCTTCTTTTAAAGCCCTTATGTTTGGATTTAATACATTTCTGGCATGTCCCTTAAACATCACTTTCATTGTCTTGAAAAGGCCCTTAGCTTTTTACCATTTTGGTTTTATTTGAACGGTTATTTGAGTCCTCTGTTGTCCCCATATTTGCCCAAGTTTTTATTTCATTGGTAACTATTCTGCTAATCTCCTAATATCCTGTTATTCTTGTTGTTTTTTCCACCCCTGGGAGATTTCTTTGGCTTTTGTCTTTCTTGTCCACTGCTAGAGTTTGTTTTCTACCCTCTTTAACTTACGGTATTCTAGATTAGTTTTTACTTTTTCTCATTCTGTCTTTACATCGTTTTTCATAATACCACTTTTCTTCATGTAGCTGCTTGTCACATCCCCTTATCTGTTACACATCTGGCTCACTTGAAAGAAGAGATTAGCTTCTCTTGAGAGAGAGGGATAGAGAATAAGTCTGGGATTTGATCACCACAGTTAAATGTTTCCTACTTTATAATTTATTTGTCTTTTGGATTACATTATAACCAAAAAAAAAAAAAACTTCTCCGGGATAAAATATTCTATATATTTTTTCTTTATAAACTCCCTGGCACAGGCATGTTTAAATACTCTTATGAGAGCTAAGGTGAACTGAAGAGATCCTGAGGTATGATCATGTGTAGGTTATAAGGTGAGGATTAAAATATGTGTGTACTTTATATCTTCCTCAAATATTTACCTTTTCAGGAAGGTATGTTTAAAGAAGCAATTGAGTCATCACCAGTGTACTCTCATATAGTCTCTTTTACTTAAGTCATATTTATATGTAGAATCTTGAAATCATTTATTGTGGTAAGTTCTCAGGAAGTACGATTTATCAAGGAGTATTCTTTGGGGGAGATTTTTTTGTTGATAAAATATGGGGTTCAGAGCATGCCTTGGTCCAGGGAAACATTTCCTGAGTTCCATCCAGTGCCATGTTTAGGATTTAATTTTCAGTAAAAATTACCTTTGACTCTTAGTCTTCTTTCAACTTCCTCAGGGTAAGTGTTTATAAATCTTTAATATGGAAAAATTACCAGTGTCTTATTGTGGTTTATGCTACAATTTCAGCTTTTTGCCTGTCACTGAAAAGAGTCATGGAATAAGGACAGATTAATGCTGAACCTGAATCGCTTAAGCATAAGATAACACTAAAGGATTTAGGAAGCCTACGAATTTTTTTTATATAACATCAAAATCTTGGCTTTTGAGTTTCATAGCATATTGTGACAGATACTACGGAGGGATCTTGTCAGGGGCAGGGTGAACCACAGCAGTCAAAGGCTTATTTCACTTGTTTTTCAGATTTGTCTGTTGTGGCATGTACCCAATTTTAGTTTTTTAAAGGTTGGATGACATTCCACATTTCACACTTTGTCCATCTGCTTGGTTACTGCCTGCTTTTGGTTGCTCTGAATAATGCTGGTGGGTCTCTTGCATTACAGTAAAAGCCAAACGGAATGGATTATATCCTGTAGGATTTGTCTTCCTTCATCTCTTGACTCCCAGAGCCTGTTGTATACTCTGTTTCCTTCTTATTCACTGTCCTCCTACCAAGTCAGCCTACCTTTCTGTGTTTTGAATAGGACAGAGCATTGTCTTGGCATCCATCCATCATCTATCTGTATTGTGGGTGAAGGTGGGGCTTGAATAGTTCTCCTTTACATACATTTCTAATAAACTTATTTCAGAGTTTAACCCAGTTGTCGTTTTCAGTGAGGTCTATGCTGATCACCTTGAAAATGCAGCTCCTAGGCCTGGCACGGTAGCCTAGTGGCTATTGTCCTTGCCTTGCATGGACTAGGATCCCATGTGGGCGCCGGTTCTATTCCCAGCATCCCCACTTCCCATCCGGCTCCCTGCTTGTGGCCTGGGAAAGCAGTGGAGGACAGCCCAGGGCCTTGGGACCTTGCACCCTCATGGGAGACCCGGTGGAAGCTCCTGGTTCCTGGCTTCTGATTGGCTCAGCTTTGGCTGTTGCAGCCACTTGAGTAAATCAGCTGATGGAAGGTCTTCCTCTCTGTCTCTCCTCCTGTCTGTATCTGACTTTCCAATTTTTAAAAAAATCTCAAAAAAACGATGAAGCTCCCTTACTCATTCCCAAGCTTCCTTAGTCTGATCTGGTTTTCATCCATAAACACGATTTTCTAGCATTATATTTAACTTACTTATTAAGCATAGTCTATTGTACGTTTCTTCCCACTAGAGTGTAAGTTAATAGGGGTATGTGCAGGGATATCTCTCTCTCTTTCAGTCTCTTTATGTCACCTCAGAGTTGATACAGAAGGTTCAGTAAAGAGTCATTGAAATAAGCAATAAGAATCTAAGGCTCACCCATTAAAAACGTTATCAAAGACTGGTTATATAGCTTGGGTAGGTCTTGTCTCTGATGTCTTATTTCCTGCTGCGCTACGTTGATTTTGATATTGTAAAAGAAAATTAAAAATCATATTTTCTGATTCTTAAAATTGGCTTGACACTTAAATGTACCATTGGCTTAGAATTGAAACCACTTTTAATTTTTCTCAATTTTATCTTTATGTTGTTGCACAGCAACTTAATGGCACTTGTAAATTCTTACAGTACATACATACTTTCATTAAAAGACTTTTAATTTCTAAAATCTAATCTTTAGAAATAAGATTTTGCTAGTCCATAGTTTACTGGCTTAATCAAAGGGTTATTGCAGTACTATCTGACAGGACAAAAATGAAATGCAGATGAGCTGAATATTTAATCAAACGGGAATATTTAGAATTACTAAAATACTTTCTTATTGTGAAATTTACTGCAGACATTTAAAAAATAGAAGGAATCCTAGTATATTGAACTGGAAAAATATCTGAGCGAAAGTAAAAGTTGTAGAATTGTCTGTATACTAAAATTGTATTTTTTTTTTAACTCTGGAAAAAAAAACTGTTCTCATCTTTGTTGTTCTCCAGAATTACTAGGGTTTTTTTTCAAGCTTTAGCTTTTTTGTATTGCCAGTTGAAATGGTGTTGATGGTAAAAACATAACTTTTCAAATGAAAAGAATGAGACTCAGTAAAAATAGAAAGTTAACAAAAATGATCTGTGCCCCATCTTTTCACTCCACTGCTCTGCCTAGAGTCACGCTTACTAAGACAGTAGAAACTATCATGTGCAGGAGGCAGTTTGACTTTAATAATATGTCTATTGAGTGTATATTCACTATTAATTCATGAAACTAATTTTTCTCCAGGTTCGATCTGGGGCCAATGTTCTGATTTGTGGTCCAAATGGCTGTGGGAAAAGCTCACTTTTCCGTGTTCTTGGTGAAGTAAGTACAAATTGACCTCCAAGATTCAAGTCTGCTTTGCAATCCTGTTCTACATTGTAAGTTTCATGACTGCTTCTCCTTTGCTCTTGCTGTGTCCTAGCTGTGGCCTCTCTTTGGAGGACGTCTAACCAAGCCTGAAAGAGGAAAGTTATTTTATGTTCCTCAGGTAAGATCTTATTTATTTTGAAATCTTTGGTTTAAATATCTTTTTATTATTTTTTCCTAAAATCTCCTTCTCATGACTTTTCCTCTTTTACTGTCAGAGACCTTATATGACCCTTGGGACACTTCGAGACCAAGTGATCTATCCTGATGGAAAAGAAGATCAGAAAAAGAAGGGGATATCTGACCAGGTAAGGCCTGTTTATGTCCTGGACCTGCTTGAAAGTACTCCATTTCAAATTTTCTATCTTAATCATGTTCTAAATGCTGAGTGTTTCATCCTTACTTGAACCTTCCTGAAGCTTTTAAAATGACCAGCTTCCAAGCTGAGGTAAGATGATAACCACATTAGTTAAATATGACTCATTGAGAATTTAACTCTATTTGCACTATTCTTTATTTTCTTATTGCCTCTTTTTTTTTTTTAAGAGATTTATTTTTATTGGAAAGTCAGATATACAGAGAGGAGGAGAGACAGAGAGGAAGATCTTCCGTCCGATAATTCACTCCCCAAGTGAGCTCAACAGCCCATGCTATGCCGATCTGAAGCCAGGATCCAGGAACTTCTTCCAGGTCTCCCATGTGGGTGCAGAGTCCCAAGGCTTTGGGCCGTCCTGGACTGCTTTCCCAGGCCACTAGCAGGGAGCTGGATGGGAAGTGGAGCTACCGGGATTAGAACCAGCGCCCATATGGGATCCTGGTGCATTCAAGGAGAGGACTTTAGCCGCTAGGCCATGCCACCGGCCCTCATTGCCTCTTTGTCAATAATGTTATTTTCTCTTAAAGATACCAGATTTATTTTGAAAATTTCAGGCTACTTTTTACTACTTTGTTTTTTGAAATGTATACTTCCCAAAGTGATAATGGCACTGAAATGATAGTGATTCCACTTTAAAAAAATAAAGCAAGATAGAGACAGAAAATACTGGCTTTAATTAAGCTTGATTTCAACTTTGTTCATGTTGTTGCAAGGTACTGAAGGAATACTTAGACAATGTCCAGTTGGGTCATATCCTTGAACGTGAAGGAGGTTGGGATAGTGTCCAGGATTGGATGGATGTACTCAGTGGTGGAGAAAAGCAAAGAATGGCGGTGAGTATACTGTGAAGACATTGCACACACATACAGCTACTTGCATAAAGTCACTCTGATTAATGAAGACAAACTGTAAAAAAACTGTTTACTTGGCAATTTATTACAATATGGATCCATTTAAATGGTAAAAGCAATTGGATATATCTAACCTGTGTGCAAGTTTTAAATTTTGAGAAATTTATAAATACACTGCCAGTGCCTTAAAGAAGAAACTATGGATAAAACTGTATACGATTAATCTATTTTTCTAACATTTGGGAGAAAATCTGAGGCACCCTGGTATTGGGTTATGTGGTAATCTTTGTTGGTTCATGCATCTCTTTTGCATTTTACACATCTCATTGGTCACTTAGTTCACAAAAATAACTGGAAGTGTTAGAGGTGATCAACTTGAGTATTTATTATTTTATTTTTTATTTTACTCTAATCCCTTTCCTCTGTCATTAGATTATCTTTGTTTCAAGTCTTGATATTGTCTACTTAAAGTTACTGAGATTTAAAAATGTCCTAATATAAAAATGTTTGAAAGGAACCATTCTATTTTTATGATGATGAAACTACATTTAAAAGAAAAAAAGTGTGTGCCAAACACTGTGTATTAAGAATGGTAGGGGTTTTTGAAAGGCAGAAGTAGAGAAATCCCTTCTCAGTGGGATTTCCTTCCTAAATGCCTACAACGGATGCATTGTTCAGGGTTCAGTCAGGAGTCAGGGACTTCTGTGTGGGTGGGTAGGACTTGTATTCCTTTCCTTTTTTTTTACACTCATGATTTCTTTTGTTTATTTATTTATTTTGACAATCTTTACATAGTTAATTAGGGTAAAAAGGTTCAAGAGCTACAGGAAAGTGGGTAAGACTATTATTTTTTCCATATTGTTTCTTTCATGTTTAAAGGGGAGTATTAAGGGAGAAGGCCCACCCAATTTCCCACCCTTGCCAGGTCCCGCTTGTAGGGTATGCTCTGAGGTTCTTGCACAAGTGGTTTTGATATTTCAACAGTTATGAATTGCTGCAAATCTTGCCACTCCAAGCACTATGAGGTCTTTGAAGAATCTACTGATTGACATAGTCCGTCATAGAGTCTCTGCCCCGTATTTCACTGCCAAGATATAGCTGAGATGGTTGGTTGACCTGTTGTGTCTTCTCTCTTTTCTTGGTTAGGGTTCTGAGTCCAGCATTTTGATTGGGAAGATCTCCAAAGAAACTTTGTCTGAGGTGTTCTCAAACCAGATTCTTGTATGTGCTAGCAAGTACAGGTCCCAGCACAGTCCATGGCCCCCATCAGCTGGTGGTTGCAATTGCTGGGTTGGTTCTGTTTTCACTCCCGACTTCCACTGGAACCAATGGGTGTTGCAGTCCGGCCTGGTTCTGCCCAGCACATACTTGGCCCTTGCATAAACCAGTGGGAGCTGCAGCCTAGTTGGAGCGACCCACAATAACCCCCACCAGGCCTGCCCCCTACCCTGGTTAGCCAGTATGTGTAGCAGTAGTCCAGTGTGCCCCACACCCCATTCCACCCCAGCCTCTGTCCTAGTTTTATGCCCTCCGGTGGAAGTGGTAACCTAAGAGGGAGGAGCCCACTATTTCCCTCCCAGGCCTCTCCCACTCCCAGATTATGCACTCTCCAGATAGTTATGTGGTTTGACTTGACAGAACTAGCCCCCAGTGTCAGCTTCTGCCAGCTGATGCTGTGGCTAAGCCCAAACAACCCTCACCCACTCTAATTTTGTTTGCACCAGTAGGATTAATCAGCCCAGCCTGGCTTTTCCCTGATCTAGTCCACATGAGGCACACAGGTGTTGCAGCCCTGCCTAGACTGGTCTGCCCCAATCCCAGCCCACGCTCTCCAGCGGGAGTAGCTGTCCAGCAAAGGAACCTTCCCTTATTCCCCTGCCGGCTCTGCCCCCTCCCTTCCTTGTTCTCATGCTTGCTGGTTGGGCACTGAGGTTCCTTCCGGTACAGGCAACCTCACCTTGGCATTCCGTATTGTGCACTAGTCATTGTTGCGACCGAACCTGGCTTGACCCACACTATTCTGGTGCTTGGATTTGCCAGTGGATGACGTGAACAGATTCAGCCTGGTCTTCCCCCAACCCCTGCCAATTGTATGCCAGTGGGTAACTTTCCATGGCCTGTTCAAGGCTGTTTCCTATCATGTTTCTTGTGCTTACCTGCCAGGTCTGTGTCCTGCCAGAGGAGTTGCCCAGGCTCTTCCATCAGAACCTCTCCCAATGCCAGGTTTCACACTTACCAGTGGGTCCATGAGCCAGCCCTATTCAGTCCACCTCCTGTCATAGCAGGAACAGTGGCTTTTCCTGACTGGCCTTCAACCCAAACTGGTTCTTGCTGTTGGATGTTTCAGCCCAGCCTTGGTTTGTCCATACCCACATATGGCTGACACATGGCTCAGTAGGGGTTTGAGACCTTGCCTAGGACTCTTATTCCTAAGCCATCACCTGCTGCCTCCTAGCTAGAGGGAGTGAGCAGAGCCGGGACTCGAACCCAGTTTTTCTGTATACATGCATCCCAAGTGGCTTCACCTTAGTCTCTACGTGCCTACCTCTTGGTAATACATTGTGTTGCTGTTAAAGGGATAGCTTTGAAGAGTGATTTTCAAAATTATACATACCATAATTTGAACAGATGCACAGCACGATTGCTGCTGTTAACTAGAGGGTAAGGAGAATCAGAATTTGAATTTGGGACATGAGATGAAATGAAATACTACTATTGAACAAAGATTCTGTGAATGGAACCTAAGTATACAGAAATAAGATTATTAATCCATTATTTGAACAGTGAAAAAATTTAAACTTTTCATAGTATGAGTTAAAAATCTGTTTTGAGTAAGGCAGCCTAAGCTTCTTGGGAATTGGATATAACTACAAAGACGGTGCACTGGGATCATGAGTAGGGAAAGATTGCTATTGAATGGCAGGTCCTTTTCCTAACAGTCCTGAGAAATAGGGTACAGATCCAGGACAGACGGGTGTACACAGCTGAAGGCAGAACTGAGATTCACATAGGTGAGTCTGGCACCAAAGCTCTTACTCCTGACCAGGAGTACACTTTGTAGCCTTCGTGTTCCAGGTAGAGTGTCTCTCCAGTTCTCTGTCCTTGTCCTTGAAGTCTCAAATGACATTCATCGTCTTTTCTACCAACTATCGTTAGCCAGATGGGACCAGCTAATATCTGAAGTTGGGATACGTTATTGAACCAAAAGCTATATTTTTGCCTTTCATTATTCTTACTTTTATTATTTATTATTGAATGTTTGAATTATTAAAAAATATATCTGGTAGAAAGTTGAAAAATTTATAAAAATAAGGGAAGCCAAATGTTTTAGCAGAGATACCTCTGTTGTTACATATGGTGTTTTTTAAAGGTCTGCTTTTGTGATTATTTTACTTTAAGTTAGCAGCTGTCACCCTTCTACAAACTCACTGAGATGTCTAGCATATTGATCCCTCCCTTTTGTTACAACAGCTCAGTCCTCTTGTAAGTTTGCCTCTTCTGCAGGAAGACTAGGGTTCTGGCACATAGTTAAAACTAACAAGATCCTTCCTCTCTTCATTTGCTTCCTCCATCTTTTCTCCTTCCTTTATGTTCTTCTTTTGCTTCACTCCCTAAATGCCAATAATGAGCAGTACTTTGCCACATTAAAACTTGGAGCCCTTAACTCAATCCAAGTCTCCCCTGTGGGCTGCAGGAACGCAGTCATATATGCTGTCACTCTTGCCTTCTAGGCTGTGTGTTAGTTGGCCTCTAGAATCAGGGCTGGAGCTTGACTGAACCCGCCAGGTACTCTTGTATGGAACGCATGTGTGTTAATGAGCATCTTAACTCCTTGGCCAAATGCCTGTTCCCAAGAGATATTTCTAGAAGGAGTGAAAAATTGATCACTTTCCCTTAGTTTCTTCTCCCACTTTCTAATTAATAATGTTACATAAGCCACAACCCAAGAGCAAGTACTTTGTCCTGATGTTTCTCTACATAGGCATCTGCATAGCTGCAAAAAATTCAGGCAACAATACATGGATTCATGTCACTATACTTTTATGGTTTGTGATCTTTTTTTTTAAGATTTGTTTTATTTTTATTGGAAAGGCAGATTTACAGAGAGAAGGAGAGACAGAGAGAAAGATAATCCGTTCACTGATTCACTCCCTAAGTGGCCACAGCTGCCACAGTGGAGTTGATCCGAAGCCAGGAGCTTCTTCCAGGTCTTCCCACATGGTTACAGTGTCCCAGGGCTTTGGGCCATCCTCTGCTGCTCTCCCAGGCCACAAGCAGAAAGTTGGAAGGAAAGTGGAACAGCCAAGGCATGTACTTGCACCCATATGAGATCCAGCACATGCAAGGCGAGGATTTAGCCCTTGAACCATTGCACTGGGCCCATGGTTTCTGATCTTAGAAAGGCTCACAGTGTGACTTGACAATCATGGACTTATTTCTAGCCTGCTCTCTTAGTTTTCATGGTAATCATTAAAACACAATTGGTCTTGGGTTTTCCACCCCCATTTCTAAGAGTAACTCACTTTGTAGAAAAAAAAGGGGAGGACTTTATTTTAGTTACATGATGGCTCATTTTATGACAGTATTTCAAGTATTTTGCACAGGTATGTCATTGAATCCTCACAACAACCTTGTGAAATAAGAACTGTGAATGGCTGAACTTACAGGGTCGATTGAGCTTCAGTGCTTGCCAAGAAAAGTCAGCTGGTAAATGTTAGAGCTGGTGTTGGGTATGGCTTGTCCAACTCAGACAGCCCCGTGACTCTGGTGTTCATGTACTTTGTCACTTCATGGCCTTCTTGTGTTGTGGAATCAAATAACTAACAGTGTTCTGGAGAGAGAGCTGTATGATGAGATGTGTGTGGTGAGGAAGACAGCCATGAGAGCCCAGAAGAGAGGCATGTTCTGATATTCTGATAGTTCCTCCTAATTAGGTTTGCACCGGCCTCCCTGCTTCCACTGTTCAGGCAGGATGTGTCATCCTTCTTTATGAGAAAGGCTGAATGTGTATACCTTCCCAGTCTGCAGCTGCACTGTTTTTTTCTAGACCTCTTTCAGAGACATTTTCAGGTCTCTAAACCAGCAGTTCCCTGTGGCCTGTCCCTTTATTCTCTGCATGGTTTCAGGATTGTCTAAATGAAGGAGAGCAGAAGAGGAAGTAGGAGGCTGTTTGTAGTCAGCCAGGCAGGAGATGTGTGTGCTGTGAACTTGGGCCCGGTGGTAGAGATGGGGATGAGTTCCACAGGATAAAATGGAACGGAGTAAAAGAGGAGGCAATGAATGTGTGGGAGGGAAGGATCAGGGACGACCCCTGGCTTTCTAGCTGGAACTACTGTGATAGTTTTCTGAATGCTCAAGATTAGGGGAGAAGTGAATTTTAGAGGATTTAGAAAATGAATTGAATTTTAGGCTTTTAAAGTCTTGGAGTTCTGGCAGATATCTAGTTATTAGTAATATATATATAACAATATAAATATGTCTGACATTGTGAAATTGGGTGAGTTCACTTAAAGAGATGCAGCATAGGAAAATGAGGATACCCAAGGAATCCTCACATTTAGGAATTAAGTGGGAGGGAAAGTACTAGAAAAGAGGCAGCACCCTAGGAAGTGGGAAGAAACAGCATGACTTTACTCACTTTGTAGAGACAGGGAGGGCTGAACATTACAGAGAAGACAAATTGGGTCAGGATAGAAAAGAGTCCATTGTAACATGGATATCCTTGCTGGAATATGTCAGCAAAGGGTCAGAACCAAGAGTTCCCAGAAAATAAAATGCTTGTGGGAAATAAGAATGGGAAGATTCGGCATTCCTATTAATCAGAGAAATGCAAGCTCCAACAATGTAACAGTTCTGATATTCATTTCAATTATAAAATTAGCATAGATTTTAAGTAATGAGCACTGATAATATAAAATGTAGTGACAGCAGATTCATCAAATAACTGCACTGAAATGTTATTAGCGGGAGTGTTAATTGCTGGGTATCCCCTGCTGGGCTGCTGCTTCCACTAAAAAACCTGAGAGCTGGGGGCAGGGCAGTCTGGGCAGGGCTGCAGCACCCATCAGCTGGCATTTGGGTTAGGTCTTGGTGTGGACCAGGCTGGGCTAGGCTACTGCACCCACTGGCACAAGAGGGAGCCATGGTGTACATAGGACAGCTGAGCTAGGCCACAATACCAGCTGGCAAGTTCTGGGACTGGATGCAAGTTTTGTCAGGCTGGACTTTAGTACTCTCTGGAAGGTGCAAAATTTGGAGCTGGAAACAGGCCTGTTTGGAGTACTATGGGCTGTAACTCTGGTGAGCATAATAGCCAGGGTTAGGGGTGAGCCAGCCTGGTCAGGGCAGTGGCACCCCTTGATGGCCAGGTGTGGAAGCAGGTTTGGCTGAGCTAAGCTGCAGCACCCATGGCTGTGAACGAGAGCCAGGTGGAATGCAGACTGGACTGGGGTAGGCCATGCGCATGCCAGCACAAGTGAAAACTGGGGTATGGGGCAGGACTGGGGGTGGGGCTAGTGGGGATTTTCCTGAGTAGGCTGTGTACCTGTTAATGTGTGTGATGGTCTGGGTTGGGTTAGGTTGCAGCACCCATCAGTTTGCAACATGGGGTTGGGGGCAGAACTGACTGCGCAGATGTACCCACCAGTGTGTTCAAGATTGATCTTGGCCCTGCACACAAGAGTCAAGTCCTAGGTCACCCCAGGCAAAATTTCTTGTGGGGATTCCCCAACTCGATCTCTGAACTCAAATCCTGGCCATGGGGCAAATCACAATATAGATGGTCCTACCTTGGAGAGCATGTATCAGGAGTAGGCCTCCTCAGTGGCTGATGCCTCTCCAGTGGACAGCATGCTCAAGTACACATGACGGACATGACAGCCAGGTTATCTAAGCCAGCAGAGGACATCATCAGAAGAAGGAAAACAGAACATGTTGGACCACTCTCCTGGCCAAACTTTGCAGCAGGTGTCTGAGTCTGTGGATGCACTAAGGTGAACTTGGTCAGCCAGTAGACCTTAGATTTTCTCAGCCTTGGTGCAGTGAAGCCAACAATGTCAGAACTGTCAAAACCACTCAAACGATGCCCTTGGAACATTCTTCCCCACATCAGGACCTCTAAGGTATTGTCAAATGTCCATTCACCATCCCTGAGTGCTGGTGTAGTTTGACATCCAGGAGAGGCCACCTTGCCCCCCCAACACCAGGAGAATAAAAGGAACAGAAACATTTGTCCCACCCACTTTCTTCCTTACATGACCCTCCGCACCCTGTTGAGAGGACTGCATAAGCATGTATCCCATTCATCTGTTTTAAACAATATTAAAAATACAATTTAGATTTTAAAACATCGGATTTATTTGTATTGATGCTATTTTGAGGAGTAGATTTTTTTTTAAAATTAGGATAACATAATTTTGTCTTAGAGGACTCATATGCATATTTAATTTTAAAAGTAATTTTACTTTAACTTACTAATTTTAAGCTTACATGTGTTTACCATAATGTTTCTTTAAAAAAAAGATTTATTTATTTTTCTTGGAAAGTGAGATTTACATGTTTCTTTTTATACTTTAGATGGCAAGATTGTTTTACCACAAGCCCCAGTTTGCCATTTTGGATGAATGCACCAGTGCAGTTAGTGTGGATGTGGAAGGATACATTTACAGTCACTGTCGGAAGGTAAGCACGAGGAGTGGGCAGGTGCAGGGTCTACACATCCTGTCCTGTTTATCCCTTGCCCGATCACATTTCTGTCCAAGTTAAATAACAAGATTACGATTGAAAAGATGACGGCTTACTCTATTCAGACTTTCAGAGTGATAATAGAGTAAAAGAAAAAGAATTGGCGGTGGCATTCTGTATTTCATTCTGTTTAACCATTTCTATGCATAAAGCAAATAATTACACTTACTGCCTTTTTCTTTCATTTGTACTAATGATTAGTAAACTTTTCTTAATTTGTCCCAAACTTTACTTAAACGTGGTGTATTTATCAGGAAAATCCAACAATAATCATTTAGCAGTTTTTAATTTATTTATCTTATTGTGTGGCTAACGCAATAATTTTACCAGAGTTGCTTTTAGCAGCCAAAGTCTAAGGATTCTTATATTACTTCCATTCTTTAAATATTTAGTTGTCTCAGTTGCTTTTTTTTTTTTAATTAATGAGTGGTTATCATCGTCTGTATTCTTACTAGATTTTGGAAGAGTAATAGCTCCTGTTTTATAAAATCCATGTAGGTAAATGAGGACAGTTATATTTTAACATTTTGTGCCTATGTTTTAGGATTAGCAATGAGATAAGTGGGCCAATTACATACATGAGGATGCTTCCAAAAGTTTATGGAAAATGGATATTATGAAAAAAATGCATAATTTTCAGTTTTTTTTGGTTCCAGAATGAACATCTTTTAATTCCATTTTCCATAAACTTTGAATTACCTTTATATGCAGTATCAATCCTGTTACTCATGGCACCAGCGCCACCATCATTGGGAATTTATTAGCTATTTGGAGTCTAAGCCCTGCTCAGAAAGAGCCTATTTTAACGTTTCCAGATGATTCAAATGCACATGCAGTTTAAGAGGCGCTGATGCCATGATGGAGGAATAAATATGATACCTCTGTCTTTGTAGGAAGGTTTAACTACCAATTTTATTTCTTTACTGGTTTTTTATTCTTGAATCAGTTTTAGAAATTTGTAATTTTCTGAGCATTTTTCTGTATTGTTTTTTAAATGTGTAAATATTAGAGATATTTGTGGCATTCTCTTACCCTTAAAATTACACAGTATGTATTTGACTAATGGTTTAGAAGCTCTTGGCTGGTGATTCTGGCTGTTTCCTGTCATGTTTTACCTTTGAGCTGTAAGTCTCCGCTAAAAATAGTAAAAAATTTCCATGAAGCAGAGGGTCTACAAAAAGAACATTCCTTATGAAGCCCCAGCGGTACTTTAATTATTTTGCTATTAGAGCTATTTAGGCCAGTGACGCCTAAGCCTAACATGAAGTGTAACTGCCTTGATCTAGAACCCAAGCTTCATTATAAATGTACAAATTAAGTAGAGAAAAAGGCAAAGCACAGTTTTGAACTTAAACTTCTGATGCTGTTTTGATGATACTAATGATGTTCAGACCTGAGAATCTTTTTTCGGTTCTTTTATTAATATGAAGAACAGATATCATGTATTACAGATAAATTCTATGAGGATAAACATACTTCCCTCCCTCCTTTGGTCCTCTCTCCTTCCTTTTTTAATCCCTTCCATTTTTGTAGTAGCATGCTTTGAAATCTGGAAAGCTTATAAAACCAAATGTGTGTCATAATTTGCTAATAAGCTCACTGGGTAACAAAACCCAGACTAAGGCAACAAATATGAAAACTTTTTTCCACACTTAATATCAGTGCCTGTATATATTGCCACAGAAGCATTCATGTGTCTAATTACAAAATTCTGTCTTGGAATTCTCTGGGAGTGTTAAGTAGTTCATTTTCTAAATCTAAATTGCAAGACAGAATTGCCAGTGTGTGAAAATCAGGTTGTATAGACAGTGCTATACAGATTTATTTTTCTTGGTTTTGACCTCTGAAGATAGACATCTTAACAGCTGAAAATATTTGGACTAGTTTAATTTGTCACTCTGTAAATGATATAAACGTAAGATATTTTCTTTTTACTAGGTTGGCATCACTCTCTTCACTGTATCACACAGAAAATCTCTTTGGAAACACCATGAGGTTTGTATTTCTTTGGTACAGTGAAAATATATTTTAGTTAAGCACATGAATTTAGGCAAATGTGGTTTTAGATTTAATGGTGTATTATGTCTTTAAAAACATATATCTTAGGAGAAAAGGTGATTTTATTTTAACTTTATAAAATAAGATTTGTTAAGTGTTATCAGGTTTCAAAGTCACTGTGTATGTGAACTGTCTCTAATTGTTCATGAGAGATGTTAAAGAACCAGAGTCAATCTTGTTCTTAAAATGACTGTTATATAGTAACTGACAGAAATGTGTATAATCTTACCTTAATTATGGGTAAGTAAACTTTATGTTGTCAGTGTGGACAGAATGGGACAATGTCTTGAGAAGAATTGGATGAAAAAAAAATGTAGGGGCTTGGTGGATACTAGGAGTAAGGGAGGAGCTGATGGTGTGAGCTGTTGAGGTTGCACTGTAGTGTGGTGGGACTGGCCGTGTCACCACTGCTCAGGTGCTGGGTGCGGCCCTGGGGCAGCAGTCCTGCTGTTTCCCGGCTCCAACACTGCCCTCTCACGTGACACGTCTTTTCCACTCTTCATGTGACATGCTCAAAATCTGCCCAGTTTAATTCACTTTCATTTCTTTCCACCTTCCCTTTCCTTTTCTTTGTTTCCTTTTTTCCTTCCAAAATATTGCAGCTATTTTAGGTGAAAGGAAGCATTTGAGAAAACCTGAACAGTGATAAAAAGTATCTTGTCCCACAGAAGATGTATGTGATTAAGTACCCTTTTTGCCAGTACTGGGCTGAGTTTTGAAAAGGGAGTAGGCTGCTCTCTGTTCCCTGGAGCCGTGCAGTTTAATGACGGTTCTCAAGTTGTAATGTGAGGGCTGTAGACTTTGGCTTCACAGTCTGCCTTCATCTCCACTATTTGTGGCTCCACGTGGAGCCTTTGGACATTCTCTCTTATATGGAAGTACTTATTAGTTACCTGTAGTAAAGTTCTTTATAGTTTTATAGCTTTTAAAGATGAACTTTTATTACTTTATGACATATAATCTGATGATTTTTCACGAATTGAATGCACAATTGAAAAACCAGAAATTAAAGCAGTTTCAGATAACACCCAAGCCTTTGAGTTTTTTTAGATGTTCATGAGCGTTCTAGCCATAGACCATGGGGGAAATTGGGTTTCTTCACCTTTCATCAGTGTACCAATAAGCAGCAGAGCAGCCGTCAGGCCTGTGATGGTGTGCAGGGAGGGGACACAGAGGACTGGAGTGTTAAGGACCAGAAGAGCTAAGAAATAGTCATGCAGGAGATGGAAAACCCAAAGATCTTTCTGCAAAGTAAAAAACCAGTCAAAGAGAGAAGACTTTTATCATTATATCCAGAGGATGGTTTCTATCAGGACGTGATACAGCTCCTTTTCCCTCTGATTAATCATACAATAATCATTAGAAAATGCAGAGATTCTGAGCAGCTCTAGCAGGTAAGCTAAAAGAAGTAATAAAGACTGCTGTATTCGGTGGTTTTGCACACTTCACCCTACTGGTAGCTCAGATCCTTGGACAAGAAGTTGTATAAGCATTGTAATTTTTGGGATCCTTAAGGATTTACTTGTTAAAATAATAGGGAAATTCATTTTGGTTCTCGTAAAGAAAAGTATTATATGCATTGTAATTGATTTCTTCCCTTTTTCCCATAGTACTACCTGCATATGGATGGCAGAGGCAATTATGAATTCAAACAGATAACAGAAGATACAGTTGAATTTGGCTCTTAAAGAAATTTGGAGAACTGAACCTGCTTCAATTAAATAATTACAAAATACACTTAAAAATGCAAAGTACCTTGTAAAATAAAAGTGAGCTTGTTTTTTTAAACAAAGAAACAAATTAGGTATGGAATAATGGAGAACAAGTTGTTAAAACATTTAATATTATGTAGGATATTGCTAATTGTGTATATGTTGGTTTAATTATTAATATGTACTAAGAATGTCCTTATTCTTGTGGTTAAAAACCTGCCTAAATTAAATTGGGCTTAAATCAGTATAACCTGATTCATCCTGGGATGTAAACCATTTGAAGTCAGCTAATTTGACTTTAATGCCTCTATCTTTTCCTTCAATGAAGAACCCTATTTAAAACTGGGGTCATCACCTGTCCTGTTCTAATCCAACAAGTAGTGTTTCCATTTTCGTTTTCTTTGCCCATGGTAGTGGGAACCAAACAAATCATAATGTATTATTAATATGTAACATCATTACTTAATAGCATTTATCACACGACTGGCAGATTTCTTCAGCTGCTGGTTAGCTCATTCCTTGTGCATGCCGTGGGGTGCATTTGACTCCAGGAAAGCCATGTGGATTTTCTTTAGGTAATAGGTGTGCCCCTCTCAGTCTGCGGGATTGTGTTGTTTGAAGGGTTTTTGGGTGATACAACAAAAATGTATATGCAATCTTGCTTACAAGGGGTGGTTCCTATGTGTCACGCCTAACCATCCCAATGTTTGGGATTTTAAAACGCAAAGTCTTTACTTGTCAAGCTCATGGTCTTATATGAGTTTTGGATTTTGAAAGAATTGGACAGAAGTATGTGTGCTAGAAGCCCATTCATTAGAAGCGTGGTGGTTGAATGATGGTGTCAAACTCCAGATGAGCCATGGAATGCACTGCGGGAAGTAATGCACTGAGTATGCAATACAGTCACTGTCTCTGACTGTGATTTATGCTTAGAAATATGTTATAAAATAATTATGCACATGAATGAATTATGTTTTTGGGGCACTTGCTTACCTCTGTGAATAGTGAGTAACTTTTTGTACTTGGGTTATAATGATGAACTATTCCAAGAGAAACCGATTGCGGCTCAGCAGACCACCAGTCACAACTGCATGTATTTGCACAGAGAAAGCTGAAACAGTATGATCAGTAAGCTAGGTGTGATATCAGTTGTTTTTAAACTGAGGCTCAGTAAGAGGCATTTTATGTTCTTGTCTCTGTATAACTGGTTTTTTGTTTTTAGCAAAATTAACAATAATAATTACTGGCTACCAGAATAAACTTGACGTACTGATTCCATAAAATGTAACATTCAGTTTTTACCACTTCTCCTCTGTAAACTTGTATACTTAATTTCTGTTCAGATTGAAAACAATCAGATAATGAATACAAACTGCTGGTTTTTCTTCCCTAATATCTGAGTACTGAATTGTTCATACATGGTTCAAACAGTTTTGACTTGAAAAGCCAAATAAATTAACATTCAGAAAGCCATTTGGCACCCAGTGTCTCTTTTTAAGTCTTGTCAAATATGGTTTTTTATGGAATGAGTTTCTGTTTTAGAAAAGTCTTACCCAATCTCTTTTTTTTTAAATTTTTTTTAATTGTTATTAACATTGTATTTTGTGATACAGTTTTATAGGCACTGGGGATTCCCCCCTCCCCCTCCCCCCATAGTGGATTCCTCCACCTTGCTGCATAACCACAGTTCAAGTTCAGTTGAGATTCCTTCATTGCAAGCATATACCTAGCATAAAGTCCAGCGTCTTATTGTCCAGATAAATTCAGTGGCCTCTTGGGGAGACCTTCTCTGGTCTGAAGGTAGAGCTAACAGAGTAAAGTTCCGGACAGTTAAAAGCCCCAACAAAACCTCAGTATCAATATACAACATTATGGAATTAATTGACATAGTATTGAGTAAACAATATGTTAAAAATAATGTACCTCACAGACGCTACCAGTCAGGAGACCTAACACAAGGTCATCGGTCACAGGAAAGAGTTCATGTCATCGGAAGTTTGAGATTTTCAGATACCTGGGTTCCCCTGTCCTCAGTGGAACTAGTGGAACTAATTTCCTTCTATGATATTCTTTTTTTTTTTTTTAGAATTATTATTATTTTTTTTTATCAGAAAGGTAGATATGCAGAGGAGGAGAAACAGAGAGGAAGATCTTCCTTCTGCTAATTCACTCTCCAAGTGGCCATAATGGCTGGGGCTGAGTCAATCTGAAGCCAGGAGATAGCTTCCTCCAAGTCTCCCACGTGGATGCAGGGTACCAACTTTTTGGGCTGCCCTCAACTGCTTTCCCAGGCCACAGGCAGGGAGCTGGATGGGAACCAGGGCTGCCGGGGTTAGAACCAGCACTCATATGGGATCCCAGAGCATTTAAGGTGAGGATTTTAGCCACTAGACTACTGTGCCAAGCTCTCTGATAGATTCTTGCCATTACAAAAGGCATTTTTGAAATGTTGCCTCTACTTTTCCTGTTTATTTAACCATTTCAGATATTGAGGCAGGACCTGCTGGGATATCACAGAAGGCCTAGAGGGGAGTAATCCAGCAGCACCATACATGCTTGGCTGTGAGGTGTCTTCCATGTAATTCCTGTTAACATTTCCCACAGAGGGCTCTGGGAAATGGTACTTTCATTGGAAGAATAATAAACCAGAGAGTAAGAACTGCCATCCATGATCAGCATACCTGCTGTGAAATGGGTGTTTCCATATCCGGTAGCTATGTTTTATATAATGAGAAAGTAGATGTGTAACCAACCATGTTTTTGTTGGGCCATATCAGAAGAAAATATATCTGGGGTTTGCCTCCTCCTTTCAATATCATTTTAATAAAAATGATGATGATGTCATAGCACCTGTTGTTCCCTTATATAATTATTTAGCTTTTAAATGTGGTATCTAAAACTGTTGTTTGTCCCTAAAAGTGAGTGCATTTTCTTTAGCACTGGTAATTATAGGAAGCTGTTTTGCCAGAGACCAGCTCCAGCAGAGTTTGGTGCTGGAAGGGTGCGTGGAGTCGGCAAAGAGAAGAGGCACGGACACTGTCTCTTGGTGCCCTCAAGTAACAGTTCAAGAAGCTGTCTTTTTTTATTTACCCAGACCCATCACAAGCCTCTGCATAAACATTTAATTGTTCTATTTTTACTTCATGTCTAGGGGGGCATGCACAGACATTTGGTCATTCTGTTTGTATTTCATGGTTAAGCAGGTGCCCCTAAAGATAATTCTGCAAATTGCTATATTTGATTTCCTCAAAGCAAGCCATTGTTCATTCTTCAGTAGTAGCCATAGTGTAACAGCCAGGACTCCAAGGTCAAGGCACATGCAATTATCTGCTAATCAGTAATACATTCCTATTACATTTTTATTTCTATAATTTACCCATCACAATGGGAAAAATGTCACAAGGGAGAAAACAAAGATCCAAGACAAAAGTTTCAAATATTAAATCTCCCTACAACTACAATCCTATAAGCAATCAAACAATAATTTAAAAAAATAAGAGGTGTAGTAAAGTAAGATTTAAACAAAGTGTATCTCTATTAACAAAAGCATCCTTAAATTCCTCTAACCAAAAATCATAAAGCGACTGAAACAGATACATTTTTTATTCTTCAAAAAATTGCAAGGATAGGCTATCCTTTAAGGTCACAGTAACTGTATTTATTGCCATACCAGTTTCAGCTCTTACTGCCATCACTTTCATTAATATTTAGGATACTTACCAAGCCCTTTCTCAGAAGGTGTGCTGCATGTCTGGGCCAGATTCTGAGGCAATGGTTAGGCACACAATAAGGTGTCCAGAAATGGCATGGGCTTAATTGTGCTTCTGTGTGTAAATTGTCCTGTGTGTAAATACCAAGGCCTTGGGATCCTGCACCCACGTGGGAGGCAAGAAAGAAGCTCCTGGCTTCAGATCAGCTCAGCTCTGACCATAATGACAATTTGGGGGAATGAACTAGCAGATGAACAAACCTTTCTCAGTTATTTGTTTGCAAGACTTAGAAAGTGTCCTGTTGCAGCATCAAGCCATCTAATGGTTGAGGTGTGGGATGCATCCCATGGTGTTTTTTGTTTGTTTGTTTTAATGTTTTCTTGGTATTTCAGAGATTCTTCTATATTGTAGATATGATTCCCCTGTTAGGAAAATGTTTTTTAATTTAAGACAAAGTAGAAGATAGGGGACAGGAAGCACGTCTAGAAATATAAGAACATTTCCTAACAAAGAATGGTCAATCCAATAGTCGTACAAAATAGTCCTCGGAAGTCTCTGCACCTGATAACACATGTTCAATACACATAAAAGCCATGACAGCTGTGAGGGAAAAAAACTTCAGGGTTTTTGAGGAAGACTCAGACATTTTTTTGTGGGAACTGACTAAACCAAATGCATCAAACCCAAGGTCCTTGAGCAATGCAAACAACTTGACCCACGGATTAGGTGTGTGCTTTTGGCAAATAGCGAATTCTCCCAACAGGGAAAGCAGTAAATCCCTCCAGTTGTTTAAGACTTCTTCAGTGTCTGTTAGTAAGATTTTGTAGTTGTCTGTAGCAATCTTGCATGTCTTTAATTAGCTTTATTCCTAGGTATATGTGGAGTTTGATGATTCTAGTGTCAGTGGTTTCTACTTTGCATTTTAAAGTTGATTTTGGCATGCTTATTTTTGTGGCAGATTAAAGAACAGGGGGAGGGGTGACCAAGAAAGAGAAGGTTGGCAGGAGTAGAGGCAGAGGGAGAGGCACGTTTCATTTGGACGTTGCTTGGACAGGATTGCACGGGACGGGATATCACCCCCTGTCCCAGAGGCAGTGGTGTGGGACCACCACCCAGAAGGAGAAGGGGAATAAGCTCTAATGGGCTGAAAAAAGCCAGGATTTGGGACCATATTTCAGGCTGTCAGATGTGTAAGAATTTGAACTCGGCACTAGTGGACTTTGGCTCTTGCCCCTAAGCTTGTATGAAGAGGCACAGTACGCAACAGAGGTCCCAGCTCGATCATTTCAATGTAATCATTGCTTCCTTTCTGGGGACCAGATCAGGATGTGCGCAGCAGAGCCAAGTAGAGAACAAGTGCCTCATGCTTTTTGCCCTCTGATTTTTAAAATCCTCGCTGTATGGGTCATCATTATCATAATGTATAATGAACTTCCACCATATCCAGAACTGCTATCATGTCAGTGTTCCTGCTCTGTCCGACAATTCCGTACAGTATTAGATGCTGGGAGAGAGTAGGGAGGATGCGTGGGAAGAATCTTGAGAAGGAAGGTCCTGGTTGCCTCAGGGAATGTTGTTGATGGTTTAAAAGGATGGGTTGTTAAAAGGCAGGGCAAGTCAGCAGAACAGGGCAATAGTTTGAAAGCAGATTTGGAAGATGCATTAATATCTGTAACATCAACATGGCTCCGCTTCCCCTTTTGGCCTGGGTTAATAACTTGCTGATATTTCCACTTATTAAGTGGCATCTTCTCACCACATCTGTGTAGTTCTGTCCATTGGTGAGGTATATCTGGCTCTAAGTTCATCTTCCCACCTTCCCCCTCAACCTTGTGGAGCAAAGCAGGGCTAGTGGATCAGTGGTGGGCAAAGCTTGTAGAGCATACAACTCCAGCATGCATGCATGTTACTTGGAAGATGCAGATTCTTTTCTTTGGAGGGGGCGGTATTTATTTATTTGAAAGAGTTACACACACACACACACACACACAGAGTGAGAGAGAGGTTTTTGTCCACTGGCTCACACAAAGGCCAAGCCTGAGTCAGGCCAAAGTCAGGAACATATTCTGGGTCTCCCACAAGGGTAGCAGGGGCTCAAACACTCGGGCTATCTTCCACTATTTTTTTTCCAGATTGCTAGCAGGGAGCTGGATGGAAGGCAGAGTAGCCAGAAGGTGAACCGGCACCCATATGGGATGCCAGCATTGTGGGTGGCGGCTTTAACATGCCACAATACTGGCCCCATGAAAAATGCAGGTTCTGTCCAGCAGGTCCCAAGGTGGGGCCTGGGAATTTGCATGTCTGTCTAGCTTCCAAGTGGTGCTGACTGCTATCCTTGGGCCACGTTCTAGGTAGCAAGGTCTGGGAACTCTGGTCTTAGGCTAAAGACCATCACAAGTAGAGTTATAGAACTTTGAGTTATAAGCCAGTTTAGACTGTGCTAAAATCTACCAAGTTCAGCAAAATTATGCTTCAACACTATAAACTGCTAAATACTAAAATGAAAATAGACACAAGACAGCTGAATAGTACCCTATAACCGTTTTAAGGTGTATAGCAGCCAGTTCTGTGTATAAACTGAAATTGAAATGTCAATGAAGTAGTCACAGGATGTGGCTATGAACTTGCATTTTTTAGCATATTGGTTACTCAACACCATTATTAATGCCATAATTTTATAAATTGTTGATGTTGTGTTGGGGTTTTTAATTGATCGGGATGATATTCTGCCAGCTCTACCTTCAGACCAGAGATGGTCTCC